ATCGGCCGAAACCGGAACTCTAGGAAATATATCATTCCATTGTCTTCTACTCGGAAACGATAATTAGCTGTCGTGTTGGACTGTTTTATGTGATTTTACGATAGCGAAAATTACGGAATATTTTGTACCAAAATTCTAAATTATAGATGAATCTGATATCTTCTCAAACAGCGTATTAATATATCGGGTATCGACTCGTGATTATTTATTTTAACATTTTTTTTATGATTTTATGATAACGTCTAAACTAGATGCGCGCTGTCAACCTCTTTCGTTTGTATATTCGGAAATCCATGGTGAAACCAAAATTCGATTAAACTTTACGACTTATTTCCAGATTTTCCAGACGAAGTTCCAAATTTCTTTTAGAAAAAATATAAAACCAATTAAAAGCGCGTGGAACCGAATGGAGATCGAACTCATCGGTTATTAGCTACACATGGTCTAATGGTAACCAAGGAGACCGTCGAAAGTACGACATAAAGAATGAATTAAGTAAATGTTCTATTATGTCTAAAAAATTACCATATACAAATAAATAAGTGAGCTTGAAGACACGATCAAAACTACTATAAAATTAGGCTTATGTATGATCTCTAAAAAGGACTTCGCAGGCTCAAAGATTACCCTTGTCATAAATAGGGTCGAGCGGTATGCCGTAGCCCGTAGCGTCGCTACAGCGTAGCAGTGCTACAAACAGTGCTACGTTTTTTAGTGTACGGCGTAGCTGTCACAAAAAAATTAAATTTATTGTCAAAATCATATGATGGAAATTTTAATATTTGGGATTTTGTGATTGTCTTGCGAGGCAGTCTGAACATAGAGGTAACTTTGCATTGCATTTAAATTGTCTTTGTCTTCTTCCTCAAAGAATAACGAATAACATTGCCCTGTCCTTTTATATATATTTATTAATATCTGCTTTAAAGCAGTAAAGTAATGCTCCTACTTAACAACTTATAACTTTAGCTCCATTCCGGAGCGCACTCAAAAATTATGTACATTTTACTTTGTTTCATGAGAAAGCGGGATTAAAATTGTTATTTTTAAAGAAAACTCTCTGAAGGAATTACTTGTGGTTGCGCTTAGTTAGCTATTAAGTCCTGAGTGGTGTAGGGGGACTTGGAGTATGACGTTTAAGTTTATTTTTATTCTTTTACACGTTCCCGAGAGATTTGCAACTTTTCATGAGGCGCCGTGTCGAACTAATGTGTCTCTTTGAATATATTAAATAAATGTAAACACTTGAAGTTGTAGTTTTCGAACAATCAACATTTACTTTCAATTGTAATGGCACCGATGCAATGCTCAGTTATCTTTTAAAATTGCTTAAATTATATGAAATCGTTAAAAACTAGCTATATTTCATTATAATATATTAGTTAAAAATGTTTAAAATTATTTACAGTACATACTCGGTATGTAATCTAAATTTTAAAATAAATAAACAACAAAAAAAAAAACAACTCAATGTTAAATACAAAAACAATATTTAATATTTTCTCTCATTGCGTCACAGATATCGGCAATAATAATCTATGTTTTAAATAAATCATTAACCACTCGATTGACGCACAGGCGGCGGTCGATTTAAGTTAGCTATGTGTATGCAAGACTACGACTTACCAGCAACTAGACAAACTGAGAACAGAAGAACAATTAAGAACTTGTATTTTGACATTTTTCTCGTTCACGGATCACTGGACAAAGAACATATCGCGCGTGTGCTCGCGACGAGGCACGTTAGCTTTCTGCCCCTCCACCCAACCCTGGGAAACGGTGTTATATAATACAGTATATTATGTAGTTGCACGCCGGGGATAGAGGGCCGACCTTTAGGCTACATTTGCTCACTCAAAACAATCATGTAATAGGTATGCTGACAATTGCTTCAAAGACTACACTACGATTTAGGTCATAGTAGTGATTTAATTTGAAGTTTTTATTGACTGAAGGTTTCAACTGAAAACTACTGATTTTAATAGTCAGTTTTACGAGTGTAGAGAGACGTAAACTACACTCATACATTTTGGTAAAAGAATAAGATTGAATTAAAATAAAACTTAAACCCTGAAAAAAAAATATTGCTTATATGCTTTAATCAAAACAGTTTCAAGAAGGAAAACTTACAATATCGTGTGCAAACCAAGATACATCAATTATAATCTAAATCTTTGGAGTCTAAGTTACTGCAAATTACCTCAAAACATGGGATTTATTGTTAATATATAGCTTAATTAAACAGTTTTGCTATTATATTTTACCCGTAATAGTGTTACAGATACGCGTATAATATGCTCAAATATTTCAGTTTTTTTCTTTGCCTACTAGAATAAACGTAGTTCACGGTTGGTAATTTTCTAGCTTTTTGATTAGAAGACAAACAATTTCTTAATATTTTTTTTTTGAAACTTTCACAGTTTGTGCAGCCCGCAGATGAGTTTATTATTTTAAGAACAACGCCATCTAGAATATCGAGGAGCAACTAAAAAATTACGTTTGGCAAAAAATTATTAAATTTTGTGAACATGTTGCTAGATGGCGCAGTTAACAAAAACCTGTACGTAATTAACTTTATTCTTTTTTCTATTCTACTTCGCAACACAACGTAGAAGTTTTGTTGAAAACAACTTTAGCGACGTTTCATAAACTTACAAGTACGTAGCATTTTTGCTTTTAACTTTTTTCATATGTTACTCTGATTTAATTCAGAGTTCACATGTATATTTTTTGTCACTTTGGCCCTCAACTGTTGTTCATTACAACTTATTTCACGTTTTCTTTTTTTAACTTCAGTATAAGATTTTGTTTTTGTTTTGCGTGAATATTGGTAATGCAATAAATTTAATAATAAGTCACGTTCAACCTATGGACACTTTAACATATTATGTATTATTTCCATTTATGAAATTACTAATTAAGCCTTCCAAATTGTTTTTTTTTTATCACATCAAATTATGATGAAGTCTTGTCAAATTTTGACTATGAAATTAACATATTTATTATGTAAGTCTGTGACAAACTAAAAAGATCTGATTTTTTTACAGGATTTTAATCTTAATTCTTAAACGACTTGAAATATGTTTGATGGGTTTTGAAGGCAATCCTTTAAAATAGACAAACAGATGAGATCAACAGTTCAATTACAAGCAATATAGTTATATATATATATATATGACAGTAGATAGTTAGTATGCTTTTATTTATTATTTTATGGACTAGGAATTGAAATAATATATTACCCGTGAAGTAAACAATAAAAATTCCGCTGATCGTATGTCATTTATGAATATAATCAATTTCCTGCTTGGCTTATGATATTCTTTTTTATTAGTTTAGAAGGAAACTATCTATTGAATTTTCTTTGTTTTGAGTCTTTAGTTTATTCCTGAAGTTGTTTTAAAGTTTTAATCGTGGACTCACTATTATATGCAGATTATAACATTATGTACTCACAGTGATCGTTAAAAAATTAAATCATGATAAATAAGGTACCGAAGAAATTAAAAGTATACTAGTAGCCAATGTGGTAGCTTTATATCAATTTGGGCATTACCTCCACGCTATTTAACCAATTACAGTAACAACACATGTTCTCTATTTATATCTATTACATTATTTTATAATAAATCAATAATTGATTACAATTATTATTATAAACTATGTATTACATAACGTATTACCACGTGCATTATTTCTTGATAACAATTATAACCTCACGTGATTTTTTCAATTATTTCTTATTTTTTATATGACACACTAATGCGGGGCTCAGCCTGCCATGGAAAATCTCGGGGTTTTTCGCGTGGTCGAATGAGAAATGAGAAGATTCGTAGGAGAACTAAAGTCATTATATATAGTTCGAATAAGCTGAAGTGGCAGTGGACACATCGCTCATAGCACAGCCGATGAGGCAATAATGTTTTGGAGTAGAGATAACGTACCGGACGTCGAAAAGCAAGGTAGACGACCGATCTGTACTGTACTATGCCAATTTGATATCTGAATTAAGTTTTATTGTTTATGCTTATTGAAAAATCAAAAGAAATAAAACCCTCGCTTACTTTTACATTTCATTTTATTAATGTGTGATCGATATGCCCTTTAGTAAACTCTGAATTAAACATTCCTATTGTTTGGTTTCTTTAATCATTATTTTTCTGAAATAAATTAAAAATTTAGTTTCTCGGTTTTTAAACCGTAAAAAGTGTTTTGTTTAAATCTACAAACTACACCATTCAAGCCACATTCCTAAATGACCTGTCTCTAATTTTAATTCCCAGAATTAAAATTAGTCACATAGTCCTTGACCCAATGTAAGTCGTTCAAAGTCAATAGAATAAAGATAACAGGTTTAGGTATTTTCTGTTATCTCTCATGTAGACAGTTGATAATAATTCAGTCTTGTTTACAGAAAACGATATCTAGTACTCGTGTTATGGTTACGACGGTTGCAGATAAATCTTGCGTCTGAGTTTATTAAATTGTATTGTGATATTTAATATACGAAAAATATTGATGACATAACTCAATCTCACTTTGAATATTAATTATTCTTGTGTGTAAAGGAAATTATCATATAATTGATATGTATAAAAATTCTGTATAGAATATTTACATGAAAAGAAACTTTTGGTTTTTAATGTTTTTATTACCGTGTAACTTTACAATAATGAACAATAATACTAAAAATCGATCACAGAGTAAATTGTTATTCCTAAATAACTAACGAATTATTAAAACAACAAAGAACTTAACAAAAGTAACAACAGTTTAACATTTAAAAAAAACAGTAAAATGTTATGTAAAATACAAATAGAGAATATCGTACCAGAAACCAACAGAAAACATAAATTATATGAATTTTATGAATAAAATATATTTACAACTTAATAATTAACTGTTTTTTATCTTACAAATAAATGCGATTGTTTATATTCAAATACACAAAAACGTGTTATTGACAACCGATGTTGGTAACTGCGTCTTTTCAAATTTTATTAGACGTTTATTGAATGCTTCTTAATCACAGCCGCGTAATATGACGCAGAAGCACGAAGCGTGCGCTTGCGTTTCGGGTCTTCGAAGTCCACATCCGTCAAGCCGAATTTCGACCTGGACGTAAAAATCACGTTTAAAATAAACCTGGCTCGATAAAAAGTTCGTAGTAAGTTATTTAAAATTCTATTCCTTACGTGTATCCACCGATCCATTCGTAGTTATCCATCAGTGACCAAGCCGTGTATGCAGTGATGTTTAGGCCATCTTCTTTTATTGATAACAGCACCTGCAAAGAATTACACTTTTCATTTTGTTTCATGTAACACAATACAAGCTACAAGCGAACAATTCGATTAAGAATCAACAATTTTCCAGAAATTGTATTGTACCTTTACTTAAAAGTTACGTATAACTAAGTCACAGTTGTGGGTGTAATACTAAATAATGACTCACCTGTTCCAAATGATCCTTATAGTACTCGATTCTGTCTAAATCGTTCATTTCACGATCTCGTGTTGAGAATCCGTTCTCTAAAATCTTGATCTCGATGTCTCCGTACTGTTGGACCAACCATATCAACTGCTTCCGGAGGCCGGCGGGATAACTCTATAACATTAACAACAAGTATTCATTCAAGTACTTCTCCCAGTTCCACTGTATATTTGTCCAAATTACGTCTACTTAGAGATTTTAATCAAACACGATTAAAATTCGGGTTGTACTCACTACTAGTTCTGTGAATTACTTACAACGAGCCATTCGTGTCCTGCCTTCCAGCTAGGATCCGGCTTCAGAGTAATTCCGAGCTCTCGACTGCCAAAGATCGGCCAAAAGTTGTAAGGGCCCGTGATGTTTTCTTCGGGAAACACCAAACGAGACGTGTAATAGTTAATTCCGTAATAGTCAAATGTACCTGGAAGAACGAGACACAGAAGTTAGTTGTACTTAAGTTTAAAATCGAAATTAAATTGGACAAATTTACGAGTCAGGCAGGACTTGAATCAGCTTCGTCAGCGTCGTGCTGTTGAGCTACCGAGTCCTGCACGTCATTGTCAAACTTTTTCAAACTTTTTTTTTACCTCTAACAAATTCAATTTCTTCTCTGGTAAATGCTGGAAGTTTTGACCTGGGATAACCTTCCTCTTTGCTTTTCTTCTTTATGTATTTCTCAACATTCGCAGGCCAGCCCCCTTTCTTTGAGTAAATGGGGTGTGCGTATATGGCCTGTAAAAATAAGTTCAATATGATTTTTTTTTTTACTTTATTTAAGAACCAATTCATTTGGTATTAGAATTACACTTACAGCTAAATTTCTAGCTAACTCTGTTTTCTCTTCATAATCAGGTGTTCCTGCTTCGTACCAGATATGATTGTTCGTTAGACCAACCTTGCCTAAAAGAATAAAGACATATTAAATATACGTATTAAATAATACATACTTAAGTAGGGTTATTTTTTAAGAAAGCAACATTATAATTTTGGTTGCCTTTACATAATTAAACAGTAATAAATAAATAGTTTTTATATAACTATTTATTTATTACTGTTTAATTTAATTATAACCCTTTGGTTTGGTTTTGTTTAGTTAATTTTTTTTTTTAAAAAAAACCCTTCACTCGTTATGTACCACAGACACAACTGATTTTTCTTTCAAAATCTTACCTTTGCATTTATGCCTGAACTCTTTGTCGTAGAGTCGGTAGGCCCTCGCGTGCGCCATCATGACATTTTTCGCACTGATGTAGTTCCCGATCCCTGGACTCAATACCTTGGGTGCCACGAAACCAGTGGAATAAACTACGTCGCAAAATACGATGGGCTCATTAAAAGTGACCCAAGTCTTGACCCGGTCACCGAAAAGCGTGAAGGCGACGCGGGCGTAGTCTTCAAACCAGATGGCTATTTCTGGGTTTGTCCAGCCACCTAGAAGGTGATGAAGATTATATGATGATAGATTTCCCCTTTTTATTAAGGTCTCACACATATTCCTGTACGTAAAACCAAGTTTCTTGGTCAACCTTACCCAAGTCCTGCAGCGTCTGAGGTAGATCCCAATGATAAAGGGTGACCACTGGTTCGATTCCGTTCTTCAGTAGTCCGTCGATCAGGTTGTTGTAATAACGAGTACCGTCTTGGCTGATGATATTAGTAAAACCATTTGGCAGCAGACGAGGCCAAGAAATAGAAAATCTAAATAAAAAAGAAATATATATATTTATTAAAGTTTTAATCGGAAAAGAAGGAAGTATCGTAAAGGCTTTATTTATGTTCGCCTTCGTATCAAACGCTCTCTTTGAATAAGCAATTTTTTTGTATCGTAAAATAGACGTACTCCGAATGTGTTGAAAATATAACCAATGTTACTTGGTCCTGCATTCGTGTCATTAACAAGGACATTCTGAAAGAAGTCGAACTTGGCTTCTATTTTATACATTGCAAACAAAGTGCAGTTACCTTTAAAGTACTCGCTAGAGAATTTTTCCCTTATCTGAACTAAAAATGCGCGCAGTCTTTCAAAACTCGTTCCAAACATGGAGGACGTGTTCAATCCCATCTACGATAACGGCGCATAATGTGCAGTTAACTCAAAAAATATTTATTAAAGTCGTATAATTAAAACAAATTATCATTTGAGTGTATTTTTTGATTTTGAAGCGGAGTATAAAAGAAAAACTAAACGTTGAAATCGAATTGATATTGAAACAATCACTGAAAATTGATTTTCCAGTACAATTATCCATCGGGTTTTCAATGGAAAAATAGAACTAGCCTTTCCTTCCTCTTGCAACGGGAAAGATAGTTCTGATTTTCCTTGAGGTAAGGGTGGGATTTTCTATAGCGTTTATATATCCTACCACATATTCAACAAGAAGCAATCTTTACTCTTATCGTGACGGTAAACGAAAGTATTATGTATGCACTCTATATAAAGGGCAAAAACAAAAATATGTATACATATACTGTCTATAGATTACGCGAGTAGTACACATTTAAATAAAACACTTTAACGTCTCCCCGTGACCACGGCTGCTGCAAAGCATCCGAAACGTCGGGCCAAAGTTAAAAATCGTTTTCAAATAAGTTTAACTAATATATCGCGTTTTAAACCGTTAAAGTGTTTTATTTAAATGCATACATATTCACATATTCCTTTTAATGAAATACAAACTACGTCTTACTCTTTCTTAAAAGATACTTATCCACTTCAAATATGTATTTTCAAAACGGAATACATATTGTATCAATGGATTAATTATTTCTACAAAACTATGGTGTAAGTGCTATTCTTACACTTAAGGAGTGATATAATTACTGTTAATTACAAAATGTACACTCCCATTGTATACTCTATCTATACAATGGATGGATTGCTAATTTTATTAATAGATTCTGGTTTTTAAATTGTATTGAATTGAATGAGATTGCAAACTAATAAGGTATTAGATATGTAAGTGGTTAAAATTAACGTGTACTAGCGTACCTACTGTACCTACTGTAGTTCAAACTCTCCCTAAATCCAGGCTTCTCTTTTATATGTTACACTTTTTACGCACCTATAAAAATGCAATCCAATTTTTTTGGCTATAGCGACATCTTCTTCCCAGAGATGGTAAGAGTCGCAGGCCACGTCCCCGTTTGACCTATCCGATATTAATTCCGGGTTCTCATGAGCAAATTTGTCCCAGACGCTAGGGGTTTTATCTGAAAAGAAAATGGTATTATTTACGTTTCACATCGTACAACGTAAAATCATATTGAAAGAGGACATTCCCATCTTCATAACTCCTGTGGAACCACTCACCACTAACGTTCCAGGCACCTTCCACCTGGTAGGATGAAGTGGCTGCTCCAAATCTAAATCCCGGGGGAAACTTACCCGCCGCGTTACACGATGCGGCGAACATGATGCTAAAATTCACAAAAAATTATAAAAATGATTAAAGCTGTCTTTTATTTATTTAACAAATAACACACAAAGTGAAAGTTTCAATTGTAATGTGAAATCTCTTGATAAATAAGTATATAATAATATGTATATAAATCGATTAAATTATTACTATTTAGTTCGATAAGCATACATAAAGTTGCAAATATCTTCCTAATATTGTGATAACTTAGAAATAAACATTCAAAAAGAACATTAAGAAGAAAAGAAAGAAAAGACCCAACCTTATTTTCCAATGACTTCTATACACATGCTTTAGTGAAAGTAAAATTAATTTTAAAATAAGAACTTTGTGATGTTACCTTGTGCGGCCATGAATTTATTAATGGAAAATTAAAAGATAAGCAAGTACCTATTTATTGTTCGGATGATAACTGAAAAATATCAGTAGCTAATTAAACATTTAAGTCTTTTACTAATCAGTACAGCAGACAGATCTTATTATTGAGTAGATGTAGTTTTATTTACAAACATTGAAAAAGGAACGGACACACGGCAAACACATACAAAACAGACATATATATCACGAACCTTAATATATTTTAACAGGAAGAATATCCTTTTCACTTTATCTTTAGTAGGTACTTAGGCGGAAGCGGTTTGCCTACAAAAGATAAATATTGTATTATGAAGTTTCCCAAGAAATGTTTATCACTTTTATATGTACAGGTAACACTAACGTTCTGCGGTTACAGTGTGTGGTTACGAAATGCTCTGATAGCTTCGTCTACGTATATAATATATATAGGACAGAATTTTCCTTATGATTTTCCAGTCTTCCCGTTGCGGTTATTTTCAGTGACGGTAGAGTTTTTTATAAAGGAATTCAGAGAATGAGAAATAAACTTACGCTTACGTTAGTGCCTGTAAAATTTCCCGTATTAGTTGGATGGAGGAAAGTTAGAGATTACGTTGAATTAAAAGTCGATTGATTCGCCGTTAGTGAACTCACCCGATTACCAAACGCACTGAGTACATATTCAAAACTATTTGTGTTCGTATCCGATACGGCTGAATTTATACTAATTTCCGCGCCCCGACGCGAAGGCGACAAAGGATTCTCCGCCACGACACTCTTCTAATCCAGATAATAAATTATACAAAAGTGACTCTCCACTCGCCAATTATTACCGTAGGGCACCTTCAGATGAGGTTCAGTGACTCCAACGTTTCGAATTGTTCATAAAAATTTCAACTCCTTTCCCTTGCGTAGGTTGGCGGACAAAATTTATGTAACACCTTTAAATAAACGCCATTAAGTGTTTAACTGACATAGATTAGCTTTAGAAGAGACCGCGGCAGCTGCAAACGTCAAGTCGTCGTAGAAAATCATTTATAGTTACAGCTTTTTAAACCGTTTAAAATATTTGTATTTTTCCCGGGAAACCTTAAACAAAAAAGTGTTGAAGTGATAAAAATGCCTGATTTAAACTCATGTTTTAGGTTTTGAGAAGAGTTCTTACATTAGAAATCTATTTAAATTGGAAAAATTATGAAAGTGCAGGACTTGATCCACATAGAGTACACAGAAAGTCCTTTTAAAATGTATCTAACCCGAGATTCACTTGATATTTCAGCGTCCGTTTGACTATTCGGTTTTATTTCTAATCTCAACTTATCGTTACTATCATATTTTGTCGCGATTTGAAGGCTCTCAATGCGGTGCAAAACTCGCTTTACCACTGAGCCATGGAACCCAATAGCTAAATCCTTAAAAGGGAAGATCATTTTAATAATAATTTTGTAATAAATCTATTGATTTAAAATGACAGCAGCAGGTGCAGGAAGTACAATATTATGGAATATTATCTCAGTAATTATATAATTATTATATAATAATGTAAATATAAGTGTTATTGCATTTATTAGTTAAACATATTGGAAAAATAGGCGTTTCAAATATAAATTGGGCTACTCTTCTCGTTCATAAATGCTGCTTATTATTTCGTTGAATATTAAGAAGAAAAAGTACCTTTTCGTTAAAATAAAGTTAGCTCTAAAACATTAAACCTTGTATATACTGTTTTAGAGCTATTCTTAATTACTTACACCGCAGTGGAACTACAGTGATAGTTTGAAAGGATCTGAGTTTGTTGTACTGCTAGCTGCGCCAGCGACTTGGTCTGCATAGGATAGGTATTTTGGGCGTCAACATTTGTTTAGCAAACATCCTCCTCATTCTTATAAATTATAGCTGTTACCCACGACGTCGTTCGCGTCCCGTCGAAGTTAATCTAATGTATATTCTAGATTCTTATTGACGGTGACTGAAGAAGAAGTCACAATTGAAAAATGTAGTTCGAATTTCTGTAAAACTGCTGGAATTGTTGACACACCTATTCCTGCTGCGCCCTGACAAAAAAATATAATCATACGATCGTCAATATTAGTGATATTACTCATATCTTTCGATGGATAACCACCAAATAATTATTGTTAAATTTCCATTACTCGTGTGTCATGTAAATTTGGCTTATACAGGATACACGATTTATTTAGAGGAAAAAATATCGTTCAGTGTTTTCCAAGAAAACTTAAATGTGGTTCTTACCACACTTTTATCCTAAGACACCTTTAGTTCATATCGTTACCTAGCAATGCAATAAGAACGAAAACATTCGTTTGAATAAATTAATAATCAATTTAGATTTAAAAACAAATACGGCCTGGACTTGAATTGGCATCCACAGCTTCCCGTTCAGTTTTTCAAAATTTTAATTTCAATATTTTCAATTCATTTTTGACAAATTATAAATTTTTACGTTGTATTAATCATTTAGAAATATTTATTAGGAACGTCCACAGTAAACACACATTTTTCTGTAGGTACCGTGTAGTTCAAAATTTTTGGCAATTGTTGGCGATTTCTGTAGTCTTGAGCTTACTTGTCTCAGTTCCATGTCGGTATGTTAGATGGCATTAAATATAAACTACAAATTTCAACCTAATGTGTCAAATCTATTATCATGTATTTAATTAATCAGTAAGGAATTAGTAATATTGATAATACACCCGTGTACTAATTTTTTTTTATACCGTACTCTTTGATGCCGGTAGAAAACATAAAAACTTATAGTTTCATATCGATGCAAAATTTCATTGTAATTTGTCGAGCCACTGCGGCGTAAAACTCCCGACATGTGTACTTATAAAAATCGAATAGTAAAAAGCAGGAAACAATTGATAATATGACGGTGTTGCTGTGACTCATGCATCAGTCGTAGTTTAATCTCGCCTTTGCGTGTTTATTTGTGTGCTTGTCAATTTGGTACGTATTTCAGACGTCCCCAGACACACCTATATCTGGGATATCCTATTCCTATTGAGCTTCTAAGTACTCTACATCTGTACTCCATCTATGTGACGATTGCATTAGTCACTTGTGTCGCATCACAACTGCGATTATTACTGATAAAACAGAGTACACTGGCCTTGATAACCTTGTTTTTTACTAAACTGACTACTGTCCCTTTGAAAATAATCTTTATTCATTTATGGACCTGTTAGATATTTAGAAGGTATAGTTATTCAGTCATATATTATGTCTATCAAATATTTATTACATTACACCTTAAGTTGCATTGTTTATATACGCATGTGACGTCAGCGCCATCTAGTTTATACGAATCGAACTAATTGTAATAAAAGATAATTTTAAAAAGTTGATATTTAATATTATGTTTATCAAAGATCTTTTATAATTTTATCCATAATTATATTTAGGTCGTTTTACATTGACCACAAAAAGAAATTACGTTATGCTATATTCTTATATACAGAAAGCGTATAATGACGAAGCTGCTGTACATAATGCTGTGCGTATGCGCAGTTGCAAGCATCCCTGAAACCACTACTTTCCCCCCTACTCCGGAGGACCCACCAACGGTGACGAAGGAGAAATGTGACTTGGAGACGAACAACTTCTGCGGTGTCTTCAACAACACGAATCCTCAGCATCAGTTTTATAATCAGGGCTAGGATTACTATATTTCGGTTAGGTAATAAACGTTAGTCATAAAATTGCGTTTTTTTACCATTTCTGGAGGAAATGAAAATGCCCGCTGCTTTTGCTGTCAGTGACGTATTATTATTAATCTGAAGGCCGCATTAAACTTGACATGTAAGCGATGTACTTATCTTAAAAAGTTGAAACGATTTTATCATCATTAGATGGCGGCACGCGTTCTTCTTATCGCTCGGTATATTAATATTGTTAAGGCGTGCCCCCACTGTCATATTTGAAGTGGTGTAATCTAAAAAATCTCTTTTTCGTCAGTAATTTAGTTCTGGAGACGTGGAGAGAGAAGTCCTGTACGCATATGGAGCAGACAGTTTCATTATGGTCTTCAGCTTTACTGGCCTGTACATCTTACCCTCGCTCATTCGTGCTTGCTATGCACAGTTCATAGGTATACTACAATTAGAATGGTACAGCGACGTAATTGCATTATTTTTCTTTTAAAATTAAAAAAAATACGCGATAAACATTTCAAATAACCACGCAGAAGCCCTAAATATGATACGAAACACGAGAATTGTAAAAGATAATACGATATCATAAATATTCACGCGGAGGGGTCTTATCTATAATTCAAATTCCAAAAACAAAAACAATGCTATGTTGTAATACGTTCTCTACATAAAGAAAGTATTTCGCGTCCTTGAAGACATTGAGAGTGTATTTATAATTTTGCCCAAGTCATATAAAAGTCTTTTGTTCTAATCAATCATTCGATATTTATATTATTGTGTTTGCGTACGATTATAAGCGATTGTACGACGCTTTATCGATCTTTGTGTGTATAATATTTTGATTAATTAATGTCTGTTTGGATATCTGACAATGATTAAATCTTTCCGTCTGAAATTTCAACGACGAACTAATGCCATTCTATATTTATAACTTTCTCATGTATATTTATTACTTTTTTACCAGAATAATGAATTTTTAAGAGAGGTCGAGGGAATAGTTCTCGATTACAGCGACGAACGAAGTGTGCGCTCGCGCAGTAGATCGGTGCAATCGCTAGCAAGTTAACCTTAAACGACATAATTATTTAAATACAATTAAATAAATAAAATTTGAAACCAATCTAAAATTTATCTGAACAGCGTATGTTCAAGAAATTTATAAAATGTAGGTAGATTTGCTTTAAAACGTCGTGTATCATCATTAGGAACCTAAATTTGAGGTCAGACGAAAAGAAATTTGAAGCCTAAAAATTAAGAAAAGCAAAGAGAATATCCACCATTGTATTAATGAACTGTAGGTAATAAATATATTTTTTTATTGTACTTATCTATTGAAGAACATTGGGTCAAGGCTTAACTTTTTTATTTATTCTTCCTGTCCTTTCAATGTGATGTGTGCATTTCATATTTGAAAATAAATCGATATCTTGTGGAGGGCTTTCTTTAGCACAATAGCACAAAATTATTTTAACTCAACAGAAGATTATCGTCAACTATCTCATATTGACCTCTTGAAATATCCACTCTTATATGTACTTATTTAGAATTAAATTACTAAAAATTAAATTGTTATAATAGTAATTTAATTAATTTTCAATGAGATTCTCTCTCTTTGCCGTAACTTGACATTTTTAAAACTTTCTTTATAATAAGTTAAATATACGTTACTATATTTTAGTAATTGTAAAGAGTTCCATAAATTACTTCCTACTTTAACAAATATGAAGCAAAGTAAGCATGAGCATTTCTTATTCTGCCGCGCTCAAACGGCATTTAACATATTTTAGGTGACTTCAACAAATGTTTTCGAAACCATTATGGATTAATTCAAACAGAGTTACAAACCTTTTAAAATTACATCAAAAATGTATTTATGTAGATATAATTTTTACGAAATTCAATGTCTTTTTGTGGTACAATGAGACACATTTAATTTTTTGCTCAAATTTAGTCTCATAACAAGTGTACATACGTCGTATCTTGCAAATCTGCTTTAAATATATTAGGATTTTTTTGGATTATTTATAGAACATCAATTCAAACGACGCGTTAATGCCAGGTATGTATTTATATATTTGAAATAATGAGAATAATAATAGATACGTGTTAAAGTTACTTTATTTTTGTTTAAAAAGAGGGTTAATAGAAGTCTAGGGAGTGGCTTGCGATGACTGCCGCGTAGAAGGCGAACGAGGCCCTCGGGGTGCGCTTGCGCTTCGGGTCCGTGAAGTCTACGGCGGCCAAACCGAATCGCGACCTGCAATTGTCATAAAATGCCTATTGTTTATCCTAGTAGATAAATAAACATAATATTTTTAATACTTTAATTAATTATTTGCATTCGAGCTGTTGGGCAGTCTAAATTGAGAAATAGTTAACGATGTTTCGCCATTATAAATGTCATCCACTAAGCTAAAAATAGAGTATAGTAATAATATATATAAACTAGAGTGCTCGCGACTTCGTCCGCGTGGAATAGTGACTTGTGGTAGAATTTTTAATTAGGCTGTTTATTATTAATTTGTGTAAGGGCGGGGTTCAATTCGAACCCGTACTTTCTGAGATTAGCGCGTTCAAACAAACAAACAAACTCTTCAGCTTTATATATTAGTTTAGATGATAGAGAAAATACCTATTGAATATTTTGCTGTGATAAGGTAAAAATTAAAAAAAAAAGATTTTTGTCTATGTTGGGTCCGCGCATTCAATGCAAACGTCATCTTACTTAAATCCACTACTCCATTCATAGTTGTCCATCAGAGCCCAAGCAGTGAACGCAGTAACGTTATGTCCATCTTCGTGTATGCTCAGCAACACCTGTTAAATAAAAACTTGGTATTAATTTGTCTAATGATTCCGACACTTTTTCTATCGCATACATTCACACATATAATGCTTATATACAGTCGTTCTTGAACGTTAATCTTAAAAGATTGACATATAGAGTCGCGGACATTGTTTTATTCATATCTTTAACCGTTTTAGCAGCGTACACGACGGAATCCCTTAATGATGAATAATTTTCCCCGTTTTTTCCACATTTCCCACTATATCTTCGCTCCTATTGGGACCATCGTGGTAAATTATAGCCTTAATTCAGCCTTCTTCGATAAACAAAGAAGAATTTCATTTTGAACCAGTAGTTCCTGAGATTAAAGTGTTCAAACAAACAAACAAACTCTTTAGCTTTATATATTAATATAGCTTTGGCAAATAATCTGGAAACTGTAAAATTGCTCTAACGCCGTACGTCCATTTTCTATCCACGTTGTGTTGTGTGTGTGTGTAACATCTGCCACATAACAAGTCAAAAGTGTTCATAATGTATACGGTTGTACGTAGTGATTGCACCTGTTCTAAATGGTCCTCCAAGTAGTCTATCCTGTTTGAGTCTACGTCGACGGAGTCTGGAGTAGAGTATCCGTTCTCAAATATCCTTATTTCCATGTCTCCATACTGCTTCACCAACCAGTTTATTTGCTTCCGGAGTCCGGGGGGATAGCTCTAGGACATAATTAATACAATCAAATAAATATATAATTAGACTCTGTGGAAACTTTAATGTTCTTCACAGATAATGGCATTATATAAATTGCGCGCGAGGTGTATCAGTGGGTCGAAAAACTTCAACGATGACGTGCAGGACACGGTAGCTCAATCGGACGGACAGTTCAGAACGGTGTGGAAGTCCTGCCCGTGTTATTTATTTTGATTTTTATTTATATAGAAGTTCATACCGGCTGATAGAAACTGGCCATATATGGCTAAAAAACATTTTGTCCATCCTGCGTTTAGAACACAAAAAGAGTTTCACTTACTACAAGCCAAGCGTATCCCTCCTTCCATTTAGGATCTGGCTTGTAGACCAAACCCAGTTCTAGATTACCATCAAGCCACCCCGGCATTTCAACACTCATATTGGGGGGTATGGGTGAGGCTAATCTGGCGGTATAATAGTTCAAACCGTAGAAGTCGTATGTACCTGGAAACAAACATAACATTTTTTTATATGTAAAATAACAAGAAATACTTAATATTATAAATGCGACACGTTGTACAAAATGGGTAAATTAATACTCCTTAAATCCAAAGACCGAGTCGGTACTGCTTCCATTCCACCACCACTAGAACAACTGTATGTGTACTAATTTTCCATATTAATATTCTATTAAGTCATTTCAAGTGCCTAACTGTTTCAATAAATAGTTCCCTTATGGCCTTAAATATTTTTATACTCTAATTTAGTATTTATTGTAACCACAGAACTACATGTCGCGATTCTGAGGGCTGGCAGATGGTGTAAATGTCGTAGTTGCATCACTTTATAACACCCGACCTGACAGCATACTGAGGACACCTGTCTCGCTTTAACTGATGCTTAACATTTGAATGTAGCTTATTTGACAAATAATCCGTCATAGATGTTCAGTTATGTTTGTCAGCACTGTTCAATTCCTTTAATGTGAGTCTTTTTAAACCCGCTGTTAGTGTTAAAAAGTTTGAAGTCTTTTAACATACTGTAAAGTGTATATAAAGACATAGGAGTGTTTATTTATTTGAGGTGAATAAAGAGGTTTCGAAAAACACTTTCTATTTGTTGCACTGTGTCGTTTTTGTGCTTCATAGGTAACCTTCGTTATTTAAAAAAAACATTCATATGCCTACCTTGAAATTTATAACTTGTGTGAATCGAATTTCTCATTTAGTTACCCTCACCTACCTTCCCTTACTAAGCTTACGCATAATACCAATCTGGTGGTAAGCATGGCGGTCAGATATTAAACGTATTTATTACCTTTAATAAATTCAATTTCTTCTCTAGTAAATGCCGGAAGCCTAGATTTCTTGTAACCTTCTTTCTTACTCTTCTTTGCGACGAACTGCTCGATGCTCGGCGGCCAACCTCCGTCTTTGGCAAATATTGGATGTGCGTAAATCGACTGTAATGACATATAAGTATTCAATGTATTATTAAAGTCGGCAAATATTAAGAAAAGTTCATATTAAGCTCTGGTTTTTCGTAAGTCTGAAGTAAGCTGAAGAAGTTCTGAAGTCGGTAGGTAGTATGAATAAGCTAAGATAATGCGTGTTAATCATTTAAGGAACTTAAATATTTTACAGGTTTGTTAAAATCACAATATTAATTATACGTATCATAGTTTTATTACACTTATTGTTTATCATATAATTGTATACTTACAAACATGTTTCTCGAGAGTTCTGCGTACTCCTCGTCGTCGGAAGATGCTGCTTGGATCCAAATATGGTTGTTTGTTAGACCTACTTTGCCTAAAAGATTCGTAAAGTTCAATTATTATATATTATAACTACCGTTAATGATGAAAGAAAATTATTTCAATACTTGCTGTGTAAGTGACTTCGTCCGCGTTGAATTTTGGGAATCCAATTTTTTTTCAAATCTCCTTGCACCTCTTATAAACTAAATCTATTACCTACGTCGACATTATAAACTTAAGCTGTTACCTACGTCGTCGGCCGGGTCCCTTCTTTCTTGCAAGTTAATCTTAAAAGATATACATATAGTGTCCCGGGATTTTTTAAAAGAAGTAATTATAAATAATTTTTTTCGTAAATATTTTTTTTGGGTTTATTGAAAAGTTTAGCAGCGTACACATCGGAATCTAGCAGAAATGAATAATTTTCTCATTTCATTGCTCCTCCCATTAGTCACAGCGTGATGTTTTGTAGCCGTCCACGATAAATGCTCTAACCAATACAAAATTGTTTTTTATCAGTAGCTCTTTAGCTTTATATATTAGTATAAAAAATAGATTCATTTGACAAACTATAGAAAATTTTCATTTCATGAACTCGTAGTTGCCAACTCACGGGACATGAAATACACCTGACACTCTTTTATACGCCAGACATCTCTCGATACGCCAAACAAATGTTTTTCTTGATTATCGCATTAACTCAATTACAAAGTTTACAAACAAAATGACTTGCCGTTAAATTTCTGTCTGAATTCCTCATCGTACAACCTGTAGGCCCTCGCGTGCGCCATCATAATGTTTTTCGAACAGATGTAGCTTCCTATACCGGGACTATATATTCCAGGTGCCAAGTCTCCCGTGTTGTACGCTATGTCGCAGATGAGAACGGCCTCGTTGATGGTAATCCAGGTTTTGACCCGCTCTCCGAACAATTCGAAGGCGACGCGAGCATATTCCTCAAACCAGATGCTGATGTCTGAGTTGAGCCAACCGCCTGTAAATTTTGTTGTCCAAAATATGAGTCACTAAATTTGCAAATGACTAACTGTAATTATTTAAATAAAACACATTTAGCGGTTTAAAACGCGAAATATATTAAATTATTTTCGTCCCCTCCTTGACCATGGCTACAAAGCACCCGAAATGTAGGGCCGTAGTTAAAAATAATTTGTAACCAAGTTTTCCTGATAAATATCGCTTTTTAAACCGTTTAAGTATTTTATTTAACTGTGTACTACTCGCGTAAACTATACTTAATACATTACTGTAATTAATGAAACTTACCCAAGTCCTGCAACTTTTGGGGCAAATCCCAATGGTACAACGTGACTGTAGGTTCGATTCCATTCTTGAGCAATCCATTGATCAGGTCGTTGTAGTATCGATAACCATCTTTACTCACGTAATTTGAAAAGCCGTTGGGCAACAGTCGAGACCATGATATTGAAAACCTGATAAAATTATTTTAATTAACATTACCGGAGGCTTTCGTGTGACTGCAACAAGCTACTCTTAGCTGTTTTTATCTTAATACTTATATGTCTATTTATCAGACCATCCATCGATCCATTCATATGTCCAATGAGTGTGTTACAATTTTTTTATGATCACAAATACCCTAGCCATATAACATCTAAATGAGATGTGATGTCTTTCATCGATGTTTGAATTTCGATATTCCTACCCTCAATTAAATATCCAGATTTCCAGACGAGGTCCGAAATGTTTCAACACAAACTGTTGGATCCAGTATTAGCAATACATTGCTACCTAAGTCTAACTAAAATTGAATATACATTTTATCACTACAAATACAAATACTCCACTTCTCATTAAATACAAATGGAAACTTGGAAAATATTGAGATACGCTAGATAAAAACTTACGTAAACAATACAGAATTTTGCAATAGCTTTATTTATATTGCACGCAGAGTTATTCATAAATTATATCTCTATCATAATATATATAATAAGAGACCTTGCAAGAATAAAAAGATTTTCCGTGACTCGTGGGAAACTGGAAATTCTACGAGTATAATTCACACTGAGCAATTTCGTTCACCTGTAAAACTGTATCCCTAACGCCTTCGCTAAGGCGACGTCTGTCTCCCAGAGGTTGTAGGAGTCACAGGCCACATCCGCATTTGACCTGTCCAGTATCTTCTCGGAACGGGTGTGGCTGAAGGTATCCCAGATGCTGAGCGATTTATCTAGAAAATTATGGTTGTTCACGCACGCTGGTCCTATCATCTTCATGATTCTTTTAAAGTCAAACAAAATTTTTATCAAGTAACTAGACAGTTAACAATTACCCGAGTAGATTTATCGTTTTAGAATTGTTTTTTTTTGCGCATCCATAATAAAACATTTTTTATTTTATTTATCCAACACACACAATTACTATGAACAAAATAATCTATAAACAGCAGTTTTTTTGCTATTAAGCGATCTCTTCCAGGCAACCCTTTCATAAGAAAACATGTAAAACAAATAAAAAAATATCCATGTAGCTTTACGATAAATTATTAGGCACTATCTGTTGTTTACGCGAGTAGTACACATTTTAGAATTTTTTTTTAAACTACGGCCCCACGTTTCGGATGCTTTGCAGTAGTCACGTTCACGGAGAGGACGAAAATATTTTAATATATTTCGCATTTTAAACCGCTAAATGTGTTTTAGTTAAATAATTACAGTTAGTCATTTGTAAATGTAGTAAAGCATATTTTGGACATCAATATTTACAGGCGGTTGGCTAAACTCATCTGATTTGAGGAATACATAAAAATGAGGAAGAGAGTATTTATTTGTCATATTCACTTTTAAGAACTACTCTATTGCATATTTCGATAATGAACAAACCCTTTTGCTGCTTTGCTCTAACATTATTCATGTCTCAAATTTCAAGAATGATATTAATTTTCATATTGCGGTGATAAAAACATAATACTGATTTCCTCTGCTTTCCATATTTCCCGTAAAAAATAATTTTACTTTTTAATACGTGATTAATACTAATAATAGAGCTTTAGAATAATTTAAAACTATGCAGCATATGTCACTTACCGCTTGCGTTCCAACCACCTTCCACCTGATAAGCGGATGTGGCTGCTCCAAACTTAAATCCAGGCGGAAATTTCCGCTTGGCGGCACACACAGTCACCAATACGACACTAATAGAAAAACAACGGTAATTGTTTAGATTTTTTTTATAAAATCATTATCATCATGAGGATCATCATGTTTGATACGATCCAAAAACCTTGGTTGGAATATTGCGTGCATTTTGTAATCGGGTAGGGTGCAGGTGCTTATTAAATATTTCATAACATCTTAAAGTCTTTCAATGCACTTTGAAACAATTTTAATATAATAAAAAATATAAACGTACCTCAGTATTATCCGCACTGAAAACATATTGAAAACTGACTTAACCTTTATTTATGGGCTTATTTATAGTGAGAATAAATCCTTCTCATCGATTGAATTCATTTAACATTACTTTTATTGCGTTAAATTTCATTAAAGAAATGAGGCATTTTAAAGTTGTTAGCTTTTTTAGAAAATAGGAGTATAAATTATTTTTCGAAACTATTCTTATCTTACTTTATAATACGCGTAGCTTATGTTAGCTACTTCGTAGCACGTCTACGATAAACATATGAATATATTGTTTCGCGTAGAAGTGCAGTGTAAAATATGGTAACGTAGCCTCACCATTTTTACTTACTAAGTATTAAAATATAAATATTGTTAACTAACCGCGTTAATTTAGAGATCAGAAATAAAAGTCAAAGTTTTTTATTGAATGTATATTTGTTAACAATTTATTAGAAATAAAAGGTATTAAACAATACTAATGTTTCGGGAAGTCGAGAGAATGGTTTTTTATAACTGTAGCGTAGTAGTAGGCGGAAGCACGTGGCGTGCGCTTGCGCATGGGATCAGTGAAGTCGACGCTCACTATTCCGAATCTAGACCTATAACAAAATAATGCAGTATTCGTAATATTTAATACTAGCTGTGCCAGTGACTTCGACCGCGTAGAATAGTTATTTTGTTTGTGAATTATTTGTGAATGTACTTTAATAGGTTTGCCTCCTCATCTTTAAATATCATAACTGTTACCCGCGACGTCGCGTCCCGTCGTTCTTGCAAGTAATCTTAACAGAAGACAAATACTATCGCGGACAATTTTTAAGATTATTTAAATAGCTTTTTAGCTTATATTTTTTGAGTATCTTGAACCGTGAAATCTTGAACCAACAGAAAAATATTTTTTCAATTCGAACCAGAAGTTTCTGAGATAAGCGCGTTCAAACAAACAAACTCTTCATCTGCTAATAAATTTGTTTTATCTTAATAAATCATTGAATCTTACGTGTATCCACTTGTCCATTCGTAATTGTCCAGCAAGGACCAAGCCGTGTAAGCGGTTATGTTGATACCGTCCTCTTGTATGGCTAATAGCACCTGAAACAAAAAAATATGTTTTAAAGCATACAACTTTACTTTATACAAAGACGAACCATCTCAAGAACGAAAAAAGTCGCGTTGAACACACCACTATCTATAATTTTAAAAAGTCTACTTTTACTACATGTATAAAGCCTTCTGTTATAGAGGGAAGTAAGGAATTAATTTTTTATTAAAAAATCATTAACTATTGTCTATAGTTTACACGAGTAGGGCATGTAAATGCAACAAATGTAACGTTTTAAAGCACGCCCTTTATTTATTTACAATGTATTAACTCTGGATAAATTTGGTAAATGAAAATTGACGGGTAAAGATAATGAACCAAAATCTGGACAAACCTGCTCCAAATGATCTTCATAGTACTTTACTCTGCTCGTGTCATACATGATGGGTTCTGGCGTGGAGTATCCGTTTTCCAAGATCTGTATCTCAATATCTCCGTACTGCTTCACAAGCCAGTTCATCTGCTTTCTTAGACCCGGTGGATAGCTCTGGAACAGGAAGCAGAAGGTAAAAGGTCCTCCCCGGACTTAACATTGTAAATCGAGATGAGTTTTTTATTCAAAAAGAAAGCACTATTTTGTATAAAAATCATCGTTCAAAGATAGAAAAGCTGTAAAAAGAAGTAACAACTTATTTTAATAAAACACTTTAACGGTTTAAAACGCGATATATTAGTTAAACTTATTTAAAAATGATTTTTAACTTCGGCCGTACGTTTCGGATGCTTTGCAGCAGCCGTGGTCACGGGTAGACTCATCATTCATTTTTAAAGAAGTAACAACTTACAACGAGCCACGCATATCCAGCAGTCCAGCTGGGATCCGATGAAAAGACGATGCCGATTTCTGGGGAACCCGAGCTCGGCCAAGATATGGACGAGCCGGTGGGTACCCCGGAGGAGACTTTTCGGGACGTGTAGTAATTTAAGCCGTAGTAATCGTAAGTGCCTGTAAAAATATACTATTAATAAACTATTTTGTAGTTTTTAGCAAGTACAAGTTGTGAAATTTAAGTTATTTTAAATAATAAATATATGTATGCTAGGATACAAGAATACTAAATTCCCTCTTATAAAGTAAAAAGGGTATCTTTCGGGGTGACGTATTTTAGTGTTATAGTATTTTACTTTTGAAGTCCATTTTAATATAATAGTTATATATTATATTTTACCCCTAATGAATTCGATTTCCTCCTGTGTAAAAGAGGGAAGCCTCGACCTCGGGTATCCTTCCTCCTTGCTCTTCTTAGCAATGAATTCCTCCACACTCGGTGGCCAACCTCCACTCTTAGAGTAAATGGGATGGGCGTATATCGCCTGTAGTAAGATGTAATTAATTAATTTGCATTACCGCCGTGTCTATTGTGAAAAAGAAAAAATACCGGTGCACTTACAGCTAAGTCTCTGGCTAGTTCTGTGTTTTCTTCGTCGTCTGGTGTATTCGGTTCGTACCACACGTGGTTGTTAGTCAATCCAACTTTGCCTGAAATAAATGATTTGCGTCATCATAACGTCTAACAGTTATAACGAGAGACGCTTAGGCCTATCTTCCATTAACCAACCGTTGTACTTAGGCCTAAACTCTTTATCGTAAATCCTATACGCTCTCGCGTGAGCCAGCATCAGGTTCTTGACGCAGATGAAGTTGCCGATTCCGGGGCTGGCTATTCCCGGTGCGATGGTCCCCTTCTCGTAAGCTGCATCGCAGATGATAATAGGTTCGTTGAAGGTCAGCCATGTCTTCACTCTGTCTCCGTAGAGTTCGAAAGCTGTACGCGCGTAGTCTTCGAACCAGATTGCTATTTCTGGGTTGGTCCAGCCACCTGACAAAACAAATATTTATTAATCATTTAGGAAAAAGAAACTACGAAATATCCAAAGAAAATTTACCTTCCATCGATTGAGCCCCTCTCTCTCGTCTCTTGTCTGTGTTTCTTTATAAAGAGTGCGTTTTTTTTTTTGCTAGCTCATACAATAAAGGTCGACTTCAAACGATCAATCGTAAGGAAAATGTAGAAGAATATAAATACCTAAGTCCTGTAACTTCTGTGGTAAGTCCCAATGGAATAGAGTGATTACGGGTTCGATGCCGTTCTCGAGCAGTCCATCGATCAGGTTGTTGTAGTACCGACTGCCGTCTTCGCTTACGACGTTCGCCAGACCATTGGGAAGCAATCGAGACCACGATATCGAGAATCTAAGCCAATCACAAAGTAAAACTATTAGTCATACGAGTCATAAATATTCTTAGATCCAACCGGCTAAATTTAAGATAAAGTTTACGTTTAATAAAATTATATTTAAAATAAAAACTCGATTATAGATTAAAAAAAAGACACTGGCAAGATTTGAGCCGGAATTCACAGCGTTCCCTGCTATCGCTAGAACCAATTGAACTTACGTGTAGTTTTTAATTTATATGGTGTCATCGTGAGCAGTAACATGTAGAAAATAATATTTGTTAACATTTTCTTCAGACTTATGCGCGGATGTACACGAGACATTATTAAAGTAAGTATATGGGATCTTTGATAATGGCGCCTAAGTAATCAAAACATCTGATTATCCAGATAATATATAAACTTATCATTTTGACATGTTTATTGATAAATATACAAACACAAGTTCACTTTATTCTAAGAGCCCCCAGCATCTGTACGAGATAAGATGAGATTGTGATAATTTGCCAAATATATAATCGGGAATGTGTTTTCTTATCTAACACGAACTCGAGGACGTATACAAGAACTCCTCCATACTTCCTTTTAAACGTTTAATTTCCTTAACCCAGTCCGATTAACCATTTTAAAAGATAAGCAAATACAATTAAGGCCCACCTGTAGAAGTGTAGACCTAGGTCCTTGGCGAGGGCGACGTCTGTCTCCCAGAGGTGGTAGGAATCGCAGGCCACGTCGCCGCTCGATCCGTCAATGATTTTCTCGGGATTCTCGTGAGCAAACGTATCCCAGATGCTTGGCGATTTGTCTAAAGTATAGAATACACGATATATGAGGCCGTTAAAGGCAGAGTAGCCTAACTGCAATTTTATGACTTTAGTCTTTAGTTATTTAAAATTTTCTAAAAATTTTTATCTACAGTGACCGAAAATTTTTAACATAATTCTTACACAAATAATAGAACAAATTCATTTTTCGGCTAAGTTAATTGCGCATTTTCATTTTCCTCCTTATTGAAAATCATGTTTTTTTTAGTAGGCCATTCTGCCTCTGAGGATGTACTTGTAAATTTTAAGACTTATTAATTCATTTCGAAATGACACTTTCTTATGGAAGGGCAAAACGCTCTAATGGCCTCCAATGCTCCTTTAATGAGGGAATCGGTCTCCCTGTTGCCTAACTTACCACTAACATTCCAAGCACCTTCCACCTGATAAGACGCGGTCGCTGCGCCAAACTTAAAACCGGGGGGAAATTTGCGCTCCGCTACACATACCGCTAATACCACGGCACTGCAAAACAAACGTCGACAACACAATATATACATTAATATTTGATTAGAAAGTATTTTGTTGTTGTGTATTTCACATGTGTTTCCTTAAGATATGTGATCGTTAGTGTCAGTAAATGTTCTAAATAATATAGCTTTAACTTACCTGATGAACAGCTTCGAAAGCATGGTTAACCTCTTCAGCCCCAACTGAATGACTTTAACAGCATTTCCTGCCTTATAAAGGACATTGTTCCAGATAAATTTGATCTTCACTCGAAGATTAGTCCTCTTGAGATAAATTCGCGAAGAAATGTCAAGACGTATCGAATGTTTCGATTATTGCAATAACAAATAACAATGTGTAGATTATGTCACAGTATTATGGCTGGCTTGTTCAAGAAGGAATGTTTTAGAAATATAGATATATAGCCATCATATGTTAATGATCCCTAATTGGAACTCACATACTTTAATTTACTCAATATTTTATACTAGCTGTTGCCAGGACCTTGTCCGCTAAGAATATTTATTTTGGGCATTCAAATTCGTTTCTGCAAAACCCTTTATCTTTATAAAGTGAAGTTTACCCACAACGTCGATCACGTTTGTTCCCGTCGTTCTTGCGAGTTAATCTTAAAAGAGAGACGTATAGCGTCGTTGACTTTTTTAGATCATTTAAAGAAGGATTGTTCTTTCATAAAATTCTTTTAGGTATTTTTAACCGTTTTCGCAGCGTCGCATCTGAAACCCACAGAGATTTGTTCCCCCGTTTTGTTCACATTTCCCGCTGTATCTTCGCTTCTATTAGTCGCAGCGCGATGTTTATTAGGCTTCCTCAATAAATGCTCTAACCAACACAAAATAATTTTTCAATTCGAACCCGTAGTTCCTGAGTTCAGCGCGTTTAAACAAACAAACAAACTCTTCAACTTTATATATTAGTATACTGGCTGTACCCGCGACTTGACTGTCTGACTTGAGTGACTTGGGGTAGAATTTTAATTTTTTTAGGCTGTTTATTAATTTATGTAAGGGCGCATTTAGGGCAGCCAATCTATGTTGTAAGTGCTAATTTGCCGCAACACTCTCACCTCACATCACTCCTGCTCTAACTCCCACTCCTATACCAAAGAAGAAAGTTTCATTGTTTTACCACCACCACCAACCACGAATTTTCATACAAACTTAAATAAAACACTTTAACGGTTTAAACGCGATATATTAGTTAAACTTATTTGAAAATGATTTTTAACTTCGGCCCGACGTTTCGGATGCTTTGCAGCAGCCGTGGTCACGGGAGACTAAAGATGGAGGATGTCTCAGACGTCAAAGTAAAGAATTGCTACGCTACGCCATCTGTCCGTCGAAGTTGGTATTTGGCGAAACTGGCCGGGTCCTTACAGAATTGACTAACGGTGTCTTCGCGTTTGCTGGTATGCTGTTTATTGGGATCCAGAGTTTTTAATATGGGATCCCAGGTGTTTGATAGTTTGAGGCCGTCCTCCCTATTGAAATTTCGGTGTTTTTTGATTTCAATTGCTTCGCGTACCAATCTTGGAAAAAATCGACTCTCCTTTGCGAGGATTTTTGGTTGGTCAAAGCGAATGTAGTGATTGGGCCCTTCTGATGAGTGTTGGCATACCGCAGATTTGGAGAGACGTTTATGTTTTATATCCGCGACGTGTTCTTTAATTCTGTTTGAGATGCTACGCTTTGTTTGGCCGATATAGGATAGGCCACAATCACAATCCAGTCTGTAAACGCCTGCATCTTGTAAAGGGATAGTACACTTGCTTGGTTTCAGGAATTGCTGAATCTTCTTGTGCGGCTTGAAAATTGTGTCAATAGAAGCTCGATTTAGGACTCTCTAATTCTATCTGTAATCCTTCACATATGGTAGGTAGGCGGGCTGAGTTTGACTGTGGGTGGCTTGTTCCTGTTCCTGGGATCTCGGAGGGACTCTCAGCTTGTTCTTGCATAGGACCTGCTTGACATGCTGTAACTCCTCATTTAAGTGGGCAGCATCACAGAGACGGCGGGCTCTCTGAAACAAAGATACTCCGACAGAACTAAGTTGGCTGGGGTGGTGATGTGAGTCACCGTTCAAATACCTATCTGTATGGGTTGTTTTTCTAAAAACGGTATGCCCAATATTACCGTTTCATCACAATTATAAAATGTCTAAGAAAGGTAGTGTGTTATTGTCCTCCTGTTCCATTGTAAACTTAATTTATTGTGAATTGAGTTAAGGTGTGTAAGAAATGCAGATACTTGTGCTTTGGGTAAGATGGTGAAGGTATCATCTACGTATCGCTTGTAAAGCTTAGGTTTAACCGGGGAAGAAGCAAGGGCTCTCTCCTCAAAGTCTTCCATAAAAATTCAGCAACTAAGGGTGAAATGGAGAACCCATGGCTACCCCATCTACCTGAAATAGAATCCCCATTCCAAAGTAGGTACCGGTTGTCAAGCAATGTTCTAAGATATCCGCATATTCTATAGGCATGTTGTGTTTAATAAGTTTGCTCTTAATAATTTTGATACAATCAGCTATAGGTAAGTTTGTAAAGAGTGATGTGATGTCAAAGCTTACCATAACCTCATTGTCCGCTACCTTTAGACCTTTAAATTTCACCAGACCATTTTCAAATAAGTTTAACTAATATATCGCGTTTTAAACCGTTAAAGTGTTTTATTTAAATGTGTACTACTCGCGTAAACTATAGACAGTATTCATACAAACTTTCAACCCCTATCGACCCTTTTTTGGCATTAAAAAGTCTTTGTCCTTTCTCAGGCTCTAAAATTTCTGTGTACCAAATTTCATTTGAATTAGCTCAGTAGTTTCGGAGTTAAAGCCGGACAGACAGACAAAGTGAGTATTAGTATAGATTGATATAGATATGTATTTCTTAAATGTGTTAATACAATTTTTTGATTCGTAACTCCAATAATTTTATCGAGACCCAACTCTACAACTTTCAACAATTACTGAAAAATAAGTGGTTTTGTAGTTTAAAAGAGAGATTGTGAGAAGAAACTTTTAGCTTATAACATTAACATCTTTCATATATAAAAAAGGAGATAAAAATAAAAAAGACATCGTGCACGCGAGATTTATTTACGCTTAATTTAACATGTTTTTAAATAAACAAACTTAAACACGAAACATTCCTTACACACGCGTAATTAATTGTATTATTGTAACACTAAGAAACATTTTAAAGATTATCGAGATAAAGTTATATACGAAAATACATATATACGGCTAAATAAGTGCATATAATACTTTAACCTTGTGAAGTGATAAGAATTAAGAAAACAGAAATTGAATAAAAAAGTCACTATTAAGTATAAATAATCAATAATTATGTAAATAAGAATTACTGTAAACTTGTGCGCTCTTATACGATCGGGTACGTTGCATGTTCTAGGACATGGCAATTATTGTCTTTGGCAGATATCAAGAGGTATCCATCCTCCCCCCAATGCTCCCCGTAAGAGTTCTTCAGGATCCAGTAGAGGTTGCCGTCGCGCACACCGTAGCCCACAACAACCATGCCGTGGTTCGGAGATGATTCGTTACTGTGCAACAAGGTATTTTTAAGTTTTCGTTAATTTATTATTAATTAGTTACTTATATACAAGTTTTACAGTAATTAATCATTGAACTTAATATTTGTCACCTATTTATAAGACTAACTTTTACCTACGAAATCATGCGCGTCCTCTCTTTCGGTTGGGGAGTTTGAGTTTTATTTATAAAAGACAGACATTACATAGTATCGTGGACATTATTTTAAATTACTTAAAGGGCATTCCCCATTTTGTTTTGGTTTTTTAAACCGCTTTCGCAGCGCAAGCAACGGTAGCCCTCAAAGATGAATAATTTTCCCAATTTTTTCCACATTTCTCACTGTTTCTTAGCTCTCTTATTGGTCGCCTGCTTGGTAAATCCTTCCTGGTAATCAATATCTGATCTCAATGAATAATCTCGTCGTTATGAGACACAAAATTTGACTTCATACTCTACGGAGAGAGGGCCTTCGTATTACAACGCTTTACCCATCTTTTGAGCTCTAACTAAGCCCCAAATGTAGATTAATGAAAAAGAAGTCAAACAACACGGCAACAACAAGTCCCGCCAACTCTTTGTAAAACTCACCACTCGGGATCGTAGAAGATGCCGCTGGAGTACTTGCTCATTTTGTCCCCGACGTGCACAGCCACCGCCACGGGGCCGTATTTGTAGAGAGCCACCTTCATGGCGTTGACGCTCTTCACGGGCACTCTGCCGAAGCCGCGGATGTGCTGCACGTCCGTCACGTTCTGGATGTGGCAGTAGCCGTTCTGTTCATACCGTTTATTCATTATTTTCAAATACTCTAATATCGGCAGCCATTTTATTAGTAATAATGATTTTTATAATTAGTGACAGAGCTTTATTAACTACTAGCTGTGTCAGCGACTTCGTCCACGTGGAATAGTTATTATGGCCATCAAAATTTGTTTTTGAAAATCTCCTCGTTTTCGGGAACTCACAAAGATGAATATTTTTTCCCGCTGTTATTTCGCTGCTATTAGCCACAGCGCAACGCCTTTGGAGCGCCTTTAACCTTTCTCCATAAATGCTCTACCCAAAAGAAAGAGATTTTTTCAATTCCAAAACCAGTAATTCCTTAGATTAGCGCTTGCGAACAAACAAACAAACTCTTCAGCTGTATATATTAGTATAGATGCAAAAGAATTTTAGATGTCCCTCTTTAAGTCTGATTGAGGAGTGATTCCATTTTTTCATGAAATTAGTTAAAATACATTTCTCGTTGTAGAATACAGACTTGCTATTGATTGGTAAAACCTCTCGGTACACTGACTAACCTTACTCTTGTAAAGGCCATAATCCTTCTCGGTGGGGATGCCATATTTCATAACGTACTTCATGGCGGTCTCCAGGTGACCGCCTAAGCAACCCATGTTTCCGAAGCTAAAAGAAAATTATGTATAAAAAGAATACACCTTTACAAAAAAAAAACATCAATGCGCGTTACTAACTGTAAATTTAAAACTTTTACGTCATTTGATCTCGACGTTTAGTACTTGGTTACTGTTGTTGTTAAAAGTAGAAATGATTACCCCCAAGAGCAATCCACGAGAGACTGTTCGCTGAGGTCCAACAATCTTCCTCCGTTAGTCCTCGCCAGAGCACCCTCGATGGACGCAGTTGCCGTGAAAGCCCAACACGAACCGCACCTGGCTTGGTCTAAACAAAGAAACCGTGTTATAACTGACCTATTCCCATTCAGCCAACATTTATATTGAAATAAAAAACTTGAAAGCCTGAGCGGGGCCGCGGAGGCAGATGCATAGCATTCGAAACGTCGCGTCGTAGTTATAATAACTTGTAAACGTTATTGCATTTCACGTTTTAAACGGTTAGAAATATTTTCTTTAAATTTGTACTACTCGCGTAAACTACGTACGATATTGAATCATTTCAAATCAAATCTAGATATTCTATCTTAAGATTTCGCTTCCTAATTTTATGAAGACAAATATTAAAACAGTCCGTGAATAGTAAATAATCTTAGATTGATAACTAACTACTTAGCATATTCAAGCTGCCTAATATGACTAGTACTAACGTTTAATTTTGCTGATGTACCCTTCGCTCCTCAGATCGAAGTTCTCCGGCAGATCCTTCACCATATCTCCTAGCTCTTCTTCCGAGTAGATGAAGGGCTCTGTCCCTTCAATGGGCTGTTGGAATCCTGTGGCAGTAAAGACACCGAACTCGTCTGGGGTGAGGTCACTGAACTCGTTGATAGCCATCTTGTAGCTTAAATTATTTCTATTGTGTTCTTCCACTATCCTAGAGCAAAAATCAAAATATATTCTGATTTCGATTAGATGCAAGATCGGATTCTGGAATAGTCTTAGCAGTACAAACACTTGTAATGATCTACTTGAAGTGGTCGTGTCAACACTACAATAAATGTCTACACAAACTATGGACAAAAATGTACCTTAAATTTTCCTCAAATATCGTCCTCCTAAATTCGTGTTCATCGGACCCGTATTCCTTATTATGTAAGCTCTTGAAGCTGAAAAATAAGATCAGTTAATATTGGTTCCAACTGTTTACAACTAACATTTTGAGAATGTTTATTACCGTTTAAATTTCTCTTCGACATTCGAGAAAACATTGCACTCCTCAACTGTAAAAGAATGTTTCGTTAAAACCTATATACAAATTAAATAAATTAATATGCATATATCTCATTTACTCGTACCTTTGTCTACATCGAGATCGTCAAAATTCGGAGTCCCGAAATCTTTATAGACGTTTATATAATGTGCGTAAAGCGATTTACTCCAGTCGTTGTATTTGCGCACTTCGTATCTGTTGACAAAAACATTTACGAGTATTTGCTATGAGTAAATGACTAGGCGCCTGTTTCACTATTTGAAAAAGTTACATGTTTATTTGTGTACTTTAAATTAAAAAAAAATCATCGAGTTCTCTTATATATTTTTTTCACAATTAAAAAATCCATTTGTCAATTTAAAGAACACCATATAACGTGTAGCTATAATTTTATTATAGGTAGGTAATAGTTTCCAACGTCGAGTTTACGATGAACACTTTGATTCCTACTTTAAAAGGTGTAATTAAGTCTTATCGTAATAATGTGTTTTAGCTAACCTCAGCGGTAGGTGAATATCACCCTCTCGGTAAACGAACAATGTGTGGTACACGTTCAAAGGAAGCACTTCATCATCATACTCCTTGTATTCCCAGATCTCCGTATCCAAGCCATAGCGGGATGTCTTCCCTTAAAGTTAAAAGTTTTTCCGTTGTAAGAAATAAACGTAAGTAAATGAATACTGGAAAATATAATGGTTTTAAAATTCCGACTCTGGTCTAACGAACCTTATCTATAATAATATTATAAAGGTTAAGAGTTTGTTCGCTTGAACGCGCTAATCTCAGGAATATTTGGTTACAATTTAAAGAGCTGGCGTCACCATTGATCGAGGAGGGCTTTGGGATATAAAACACCAGCCTGCGACCAATAGGTTCAAAGAAACATAAGGAAATGTGGAAAAACGGAAAAAATATCATACTTACGCTGCGAACACGGATCAAGACACTCGAAAAATATGTGTTAAATATTTATTGTTTTTTGAATAATCTAAAAAAAATGCCTACCACCGTGTCTATAGGATTCAAATTCCGTCTAAAACATTTTATATGACAAAATATGTCTACTCACCGACGTACGTGTAGTTCTCCGTTTTCGGCAAGAAGTTCTTCTGAGGGCCATCGTTCTCTTCGGGCACGCAAATTACTTCCGAGTCCAGGGTGTCTGTTGTCATTGGGAACACCTGCGCATTTCACTATTTTATGATATGAAATATATTTACTTAAATAAAACTTTGATATACTTTTGCCAATATTATAATACAAAAAGTTATTGTTTAATCGTTTTTGGGATAGAAGGAAATAACATATCTGACCTCGTATGCGCGTCCTACGTCTTCATCGTTTTCGGCGACGTAATAAGTCTTTGTGGTGCCGTCGTAATAATCGATTCGTGATCGATTATTTTCAGCACTGTACCTGTTTCAATATTCACCAATTCAGTCGAAAGAGATACCGTCAAATATTCGTGTCGGATTATTACATTAGAGAAGAGGTTCTCGACGTTTCGCCATCACGAGCGGACGGCGTCTTCGGGAGATGTTGTTAGCTCCTCGATTGCTCGAAAAAATAATTCTTCGAGAACCTCTTCTCGGTCACGGCGGCCGAACAGACCGATAAACAAGATAAGCTGAACGATTATCACATAGCAAATACCCTGTAATGTAAGGTTCAACTTGGGAGCTCTCGCACTTAACACAAATGCCTTTCGTGTGCGGTTGGAATGAAGTAAGATAATCACCAAATCTGGAAAGGTTGTATTAGGCCAGTGAATAATGACGTGACTTCTCCTCGGAAGTAGTACTCAGTCGGGAACACTATTCCGCTCTCCGATTTTTCGAGTTCAAAATCTGGAAAATTAAAATTATATTGCTTTTTAAGATATCCCAAAAGTAACAAGTCTGAATGTAAATGCTCTGTGATTATACCTATTGTAAATGACAAAGCGGTTTCGAATACCACAGCAGAAGCGAGCAAAGTAAAGAGGGACGCCATGTTTGGTCCCATTTTTACCCCAAATGACTGAATTCCATACAAAACTCTATATAATATACGGGATTGCAAATTTAAGCCACGTGCATACTACTGAAATATTTAAATTCATTATTTGTTTAGTCTGTATTAAATAGTATAATTAAGCAAACAGTACTTTTTATATTTAAAAATGTTTTTAAGCTCACGATCACGGGAACTGGTTGTCTTGAAGGTCATTGTATCATTGGACATTCGGAAATCCACAGACTGTGTGTGGACGGTTCGTGACCCGCGCAAAATAACTAGATTTTCAGACGAAATCTAATATAATAAAAAAAATCATATACGAAGGAATACCTTAATAATAAGTATTACTACCTACTTATTTATATATTATCTCGTGGTCAGTTTCGTATATTGTACGTCTGCCTTTATTCGATAATAATAATTAACAAGCAATGTCAATTAAAAACTATTTGTACACAATTTAAAATAACTAACAAGATTAGAGAGAACAGGTTTTATCAAAGCTATTTAATTCGACGAATCAAAATTTACAAGTTCTAAGTAAAATATTGGAAAATAAACTTAATTAAATGACATATACTATGCAATAATTTAAATGCGCTATCATCGCAAAATCGCGCAATATAAAATATATAGAGATAGCTCATTTTAATATTTATTCTTCCATCACACGTATTTTTACATAACCTTTAATCTAAAATTAACTCTCACGAGTACACGTATAATAATATAAGTGAATTAGTAAAACACTGATAAAATGCAATATAATATATGAAATAACCAATATGTTTTGACTTCATAAATTTGGATACTGAGCGGGCGTTCGAAATACTGATATTTCGTCCGGGCCACGAACCCCACCGTCCACATATCAAGCCGAATATCGGTATCGTCGTATAGCTGGACATTTCACCTTCAGTCAAGTGACCCCAATGCGGGTCTGTCGTTCTCTAAAGAACGTGTTCAATCTATTAGGCTTATAAATTAAAAATCGCTTATAAATACGACAAAGGCAGGACTAGGGGCATCGGTAATTACATGTGTAAAGTTCTTAAAAAAATCTTGGTAAATAAAGGAGAATAAGTCAAGTAATGTATTAACTCTCCCTCTAGAAGTCTAGAGTCATGTGAAACAGGATAAAAAGTACAAACGTAAAGTGTAAAATAATGCGAGAGCAAATGGTAGTTTTTGCTTCCGACATTGATAGAAGGTCAAAGCTATCAAATATTAAGTTAAAAATATTTTGAGATATTCCTAGAACCAATGTCGATTGTTGATTATTTTATCTTCAGTATACAAAATAAGTCCCTTGCAATGAATTAACTATTTATTGTTTTATTTATATTGATAAGAAAAAAATATTAAGGTAAATAAACCGGGTTGTCTTTCAGGTGGAGAATTTGGTTAAATTTAGTTCACTATAAACAATCATAGTATAATATTATTACAAAGAGATTAAGTCGATATAAAAATGTTTATAGAATCACTTTGCTTATACTTGTACTCTTAATAGCATTTTTGAGTACTGTCTGTAGTTTACGCGAGTAGTATACATTTAAATAAAACACCTTAACGGTTTAAAACGCGAATTATATTAGTTACACTTATTTGAAAATCATTTTAACTACGTCTCCCCGTGACCACGCCTGTTGCAAAGCATCCGAACGTCGGACCGTAGTTAAAATAGTTTTCAAATAAGTTTAATTAATATATATCGCGTTTTAAACCGTTAAAGTGTTTTATTTAAACCAGCCGTGATTTCGTATTCGTAAGGGAATTATTTCTCTTTCTAATCTGATCCCCGAACATACATTTTCATTCTAATTACTTACAGTCAACGTCTAGTTATTCCCCCACCGTACCCTAAAGACGACATCTTAAAAGTATTAATATCGTAGTTTTTAAATACGAAGACTCAGTGTAGAAAAAGTTGCGCCCGATTCTTGTTCGTGCTTTGGTAAGAACCACTTGCATGATCTTTATATCCTTATAAACACGCGTTTTTTGTATCTCAAGTGATTTTTTACCACTTTGCTCCGATAATTGTCTAATACGATGTCGGCAAATAATAAGTTTTTAAAAAGAGTAAAAAAAGGCAAAGTAGTTTTTCAAAAGGGATAAAAAATCACGTTATACAAAACGTAACATTTAATAAGTAAAAATTACTGTCAAAACCCTCATATTTAAAGCAATCTAAAACAGTACTATGTACTCGCTCGTCGACCACGCATTAGTTATTAATAGTATTATATTTTGAAGAACTGCGGAAGAGAAAAAATCCCAACTTTAATTTAATTCAACTTATCTACGTTTTCTTTTTTATCCCATTCGCTTCCTTCCTTATCGTGCCTTTTCTTCATCTCGGTTCCGATCATGACGCGATAAATGTAAGCGACAATGGGGGCAATTAAATAAATCCTCTCATTATTATCAAGTAGGTTTATTGTCTTATTTCCGTTTCATCGTTACTATTAAATAGATAAGTTTAACTTTATTAAAGGAAAAGGCCCATGAACGATTCTCTTTCACTTTTATTAGGATAATTATATGAGTTTTATGTACGTTTTTCAAACGAGAACTATTTATTTAATGGAACTACCAAAAATAATTTAATATGAAAACTACAAACACTAGTAAAAGCGCGCGATATTATTAATTAAGAGCTCAGATAGCTAAGATTCAATTCAATTCAAATCGGAGTTCTAGTTGCGCTAAATCTTTGAAGTTAACCTATTTTAGTAATCTTTAACAAAATGCACGGTATGTGTATAGTTAATTACTTTCACGGTACAATTATTCTCTAATTAACGCATTGTTGAACACTTCACTAAGTACTGTTTCTATCCAGTGCTTAAAAAAACTTCTGAACATTATTAAGAGTAAGTATAAGAAATTACTGAGTTCACGGTTTATATTCCAAAATTAGTTTTCATAACGTTTAGTCGACCGTCGAATATATTACGATAAGTTACTTTAGTTAGTTGAGATATGCTGTTTAGGATAGATTGAAATATATTTTATTCTAAAATCAGATGCCCAAATGGATCTCACCGAAGACGACTTGTATAATTGGTACAAGCACGCACAAGATGGAGTAAGTTCGTCGTTGTGTGTTTGTGTTGAGTGTTACCACGAAGAACATTTTTATTCAAATCAGTGGAATTGTATTGTCTTTGGAGAATTGCACTGCACTTTTGGTTGTCAATATTTAAGATGTCACTCGTCTTTGGATTCATTTACATGTTGGTCTGATGGGGGGGGGTCAATCACAGGCTATGCACCGATCTATTTTTTGCACTGTTAATTATCATGAGGATATCTTTGATGGCCCGGTACCATCAAAGACACCTGACAGCATTTAAATTCTTGTCATTCTTCTCTTCTTCTCGATTCAGCACTGGGAACGAGGCATTGAAGCTTATATTATGGGATGTCATTTTGGCGATATCTATTTAATAGTATTTGAAACCTAGCTGTGGACCTACTAGCAGTTAAAATCTTCTTGAATTTTTCAGGTCAGAGAAGGAGTCAGGACCATGGTTAGTATATATTATACTCCATAAAAATATTTGTTTGACTTTCATGCACAGTGTCGTGTGTCTGGTTAAAATTAAAAATGACCGTAGTATCGTTACGACTCAAGGAATTTAAAATAATATTTAAGGTCGTTTTAGATGTTATTTGTTAATTTAGCCTCATTTCATGCTATAAAATTAGCATCTTTATTTTCAAATTTATTAAAAGATGCACTTCGATTATTACTAATGTAATAGCTGTAATGTCTGATGTACCTCGATCGACACAATTTAGTTGTTTATATTTTTTCAGCAAAACTCGATTAACTCTCGCAGTGTCCTGTCACTAATAGTGGCCGTCTTCTCCCTGTCTTCGGCGCAGCAGGGCGACAACGTCGTCGACCTGATCGGGAAGGGGATAGGGAAGGAAGTATCTGCTGTCAAACAACCCTTTGAGGAGACACTGGTTTTTGTCGGCTCCGCCCAATGTACGTTATAGTGAGACGTGACGTCCACATTTCTTAGACCTATGTAGATAAGTAAGATAAGGAGTAATGTGCAAAAAATACTGTTTATTGTGTTGGCAGAAATCGAATCTAAGGCCTTGGTGAACACTAGACGTACATAAAGTAATTTTCTAAGCATGTGCCGTGATAGACCTACGATCGATCACTATTCAATAACAATTTTAAAAAAGAAGGGAACAATGCAATATCTGTTTTCTATGTAATACTGTTATTATGAAGACTTAATTCGTTTTATTATTTTTAGGTAAACACGTGAAAAGATTAGTAGGAGTGTCATACGAGCAGCTGCACGGGGAAAGGGAGCCGGATCTGAATACACTTGCATTGGTCTACAGAGATAGGTGAGGAGTGATCGTTTTATTTTAATCAGGAAGAATGTCTTGGTTTTTGCCAAATACCATCGAGCATATTTATTATTATATTATTACACCTGATCACATAAGACACAAATGACGAAAGGTTTCGCTAAATGCATTTTATATAAAATTATGCAATGCATTGTGGTAGACTGCTGTGCACACAAATGAGACGGTTAGCAATAACACTTCACAGCGTCTCGTCCATTGCAGATTGGCGACGACAAATATAAACATAACACAAGCCGCCCAGTGGCTGGTTCAAGCCAGGCGGAACGAGCCAGACCGGCGACTCATTATCTTCGTGCACGGCTTCACCGACAACCCCCTCAAAGACAACTTCATCAACATCAGCAACTCGTTCCTGCAAAGCAGTAAGCTACGCCAATACGCCATATGCTCGCTTGCATATATCTTCGGCGTCATTAAATGATAATATTTAAATACTTCGTATAAACTCTTAATTCGGCAAGATTAACCGATCGTAGGTCAGTGTGAGTCACTTTGTTATAAACTCGTTTCGACTATGGGTTCAACCTGACCTTAACCCGAACGGAAGCGACGACCTTTTTGTATTGGCGACTTTTCTGGAACTTCAACATACACATAAATAAAGTTTAGACACGGACGGTTCGTTGGTGTAATGATACTATGTATGACTAATAATCATCGGGTCGTGGGTTCGATCGCTACCGGGTATTGTATTAAAACATATTGCACTTCATCTAAGTATCTACCTATATTAAATGGATTGTAAAAATATTAAAAATTCTGCCCGGGTTACGAACCGCCGGTCATAGATGAAAAAGCTGTGAATTTCACCATTGACCATTTCACCCATAAAGATGCTGTGAAGTTTAATCGCGTTTCGATTTTAGTCTGTGGGTTTCCAAAAACCCAAATCTAGTTATAATATAGCGGGCGGTTGCACCTATCTGTCTATTGTCCTTATTATAAAATATATATAAATATCGAGCAACAATCGACAAATCATTGTTTTAATTTAACCTATGAACTCTTAGCTCATTTCCCTGTATCAACAACGCACGATGCGATCGAAACAGTATTATTCCCGTTTTCAGATGAAATCAGTGTATTGGCGTTAGACGGCAGTCCACTGATTCGCTGGCTGTATCTTCGCTCCTCCACTTACGTGAGATTCATAGGCCAGAAGCTCGCGGAAGTGCTGGTGGCTTTAGTCAATGGTAAGTGTACCCATACGAATATATAAAAAGCTAAGCTTCTTTTAAAGAAATGTTTCGCATAATACTTAAGTTATACATCTTAATTTGAACTTTTGATATTAAATGTTAAGCATATTTCCCTCAGCATTCTAAGAACTAACATTAACTATACGAGTGAATCTATTTGAATACTTAAGAAATGCCATCAATTGCACGTAAATTATAAGATGACAAAGTAAACACGAGTAATTGAGCGTAATAACCAGAAGCCTCATAAATATGCTAAGCGTGTCCATGTTCCGGATGTTATCTTTTTTATTCTACATTCTAGAATGGTTTAACCTTAGATTGCGCGGGTTGGGGTCACGACCATGTAGGAGAAACATTAATTTCTATTTGCTTAATTTTTTATTTTCTCTTCCCCGCTAAGTGGTCTATCGAATTCAAAAAGAATTTTTCAATTTACCAGTAATTCCTAAGATTAACGCGTTCAAACAAACGAACTCTTCAGTTTTATATTATTACTATAGATAGGTGCCGTTGATGTCGTAATGAGCGTTATTGGATTCGGTAAGATATCTCAATCTCCTATGCAATTTTTTTTTTGGAGAAAAATACTTTTGTTGCCCTGTTTTGCCGTGTAAGACAGACCGACAAACAAATTAATACGCATATTGGGAATCGGACAACACCCTACTCTATGTAGTACACAAAGATGAAGTAGAAAACTCGTCCACCTTGTTATAAATAATCGCGGAATAACGAAGGTTGGACTCGTCGTTTACATCAGATTGCGGTTAATTGAGGTTTAACATAATTATAAAGATGTGTCATGATAAACTCTCAATTAAACATAATTGAAATATTCCCTGTGCCAATTAAAAGTATGCCATCATATAACTTCCATATTAGATGAGGCCTGTTCGGCAAAGACGTTTCAAATTTATAAGTATTGTCTGAAGTTTACGCGACTAACACGCATTTAAATAAAACACTTTTAACGCTTTGAAGTGTAAAAATATTAACTTAATTTTAATTTAACTACCACCCGACGTTTCGTATACGTTGCAGCGCCCGTGGTCACGGGGGGAATTTATAAGTCCAAACTGAAATCATATAAGATTTATAGAAACTAAGGCTACACTGCTTACCCCACTTAATTTTTGGCCCCTTACGATTAGCCGCTAATCACAAATCAACTTGTGGGTTGATTAAAAAAAAATGTATTGCATAAAAAGGTGATGACTTGAGTGTCCCTTCAAAAAATGCGTGTAAAGAATGTATGTATATTGTTATACTAAAGAAATTATTATAGCAAACAGACACACTTTACAGATGGCCAAGATCCGGCATACATCCACTTGATCGGTCACAGCCTCGGCGCTCACATATCCGGTTTCGCTGGCAAGACGTTCGAGGAATCAACCGGGCGCAAGATCGGCCGGATATCCGGGTTGGACCCGGCCGGGCCCTGCTTCAGCCACGTAGACCCGGAGTTGCGTTTGAAGGCGACGGACGCGGAGTTCGTCGACGTAATCCATACTGATGCCGGAGTATTTGGTCTGAGGGATCCCATCGGTGAGGATACGAGCCAATAGGGCCAAGTGGTACAGGGTTCGAATTCCCACTTTATATAGATGACTGCCAATGAAGATAACCTGCCACGAGTTTTTTAATATTCTCTTTTACCTAGAGACAAATTTCTGAGCGATTCTCCAGTTAAAACAGGAAATAATTACGTCTTTGACACAAAAAGGCAAAGAACAACTTATGTTTAAGCCTTTGCTATTGCTACTCTCCAGGGCAAGTGGATTACTTTCCCAACAATGGGGCGATGCAGCCGAACTGTGTGTTGCAGTCGTGTTCCCACTCTCGCGTGGTGTCCTATTACGGGGAGTCGATCGTCAACGGCGAAGCCTTCCCGGCCGTCAGGTGTCGCGATTGGGAAGCCTACAAGAAGGGACAGTGCGATTTCAAGAGTATCAGGTGATAGTAGTATATTCTATGTATTTAGTCTATTATAGGTAGGGTAGGCAACAGGTTAGACTAGACCGTAGAAGCGGTCGTGTATGATTGTGTTGATGTCATTATAATTTACGTGATGAACGATATTTCATCATCTTCATTATTTTATTATCTAACTTGACCGGAGCAAATTTCTGCATAGACAATGCGCTTTCATTGCTGAGCTTAGTAGATAAAATATTTTCATAATTGTTTTCCAGCTATATGGGTTACGCTTCGAAGCCCGGCACAAAAGGACTCTACTTCTTGCGAACCAACGGAGAGTCGCCTTTCGGCCTCGGCGTCGAGGGGTTGAAATATGTCAACAATGAGGGGATCGTGAGGAACATCGGAAACCTATTCGGATAAGATAACTTCTATCGCGTTAGTAAAATGCGCCATAAAACAAAGCATATTTTATTGTTTTCATTATATTACTTTATCTCAATATAAAATCATCCGGAATTGGGACTCTTAGAAAAATAAACATCTTCAATAAATACAAAGACAACACAAGTAGACAACATTGTACAGTCTTCGAGAAAAACGTGCCACGTGTTAAATGTTGTACTAACGTTACAACAGGGATTGCATAAATGTTACAAATAATTTAAATTGCATTATAGAATCGAGCTTGCGAAAAAAACGTTACGCTCGGTAACGATACTCAAATAAGAGATTTTTTTATCAACGTGAAATATATTTTAATGGATTAAGTTAATTTTTAGCTCGAAAAGTATGAAACAGCATTTTCTCGACGACTGTCCAACCGCGCACGCCACAGAGCCGCCAAATAACATCGTTATGGCAGCACTCGGCTCTGAAGCGCGACGCGCAAACGATAAAATGTCAAATTACAAAAAGTAAAAATCTGATTCACAATCAGAGTAACATATACTTAATTATATAGAAAACGTAAATCTAGCGTTCGCCGAGGGGATCGTACAATACCTGCTAAGGTCAAATAAGTAGTAGATCTAGTTTGTGAAACCCAGGTATATTGGAATGTCCTGTCATTATAAATAATATGTTCACGCAACTAGAAGTGTGAGAAAGTATTTGTGCCAGTAAATGTGAGCCTAAACAACGATAAGCCAATCGGAGTAAACAACAAGTGAGCGATAATATCTATGGCATCAGTCTTTAGTTCATGCCACTCGTTCGAGATTATCCTCCACGATTATCACCAATTCTTCTCGGTTGAAGCGATCGGCGAATCGAGTCCAATAACGGAAGATGACGTCGAACGTTGTCTCTTTTTTTACTCCCGCACAAGCCGTTATTATCCAAACTTTAAGACGCACAAGACAGACTTCTATCCTAAAACCTAAATATAGCACCTTAATGGTGAAATATAGAAACAGTAATAGCAACATGTCGTAAATATCTCAACGCACTCGAACCCGGCGTCGGTCGTCGTGCGACAAACTTGAATATCCAGTCCAGTCCAGTCGACGTGTCCATTTTAGAGAGAAATTATCACTAAATAACGGTGGTCTAACTCGTGTGATACTTTTAAAGCTAAATCGAAAATGGAGGTTTTAACACGAATACTTATCTATGGCATCTGCAAGCCCAGGTTCCGTCTTAGCCTAAGCTTAATAGAAATCGATAAAAATGCTGCAAACTATGTACCTTAATATATTTTTACAACTCGCGTACCTAAGGTGCGTTTCCGCCGCGAAATCCATTTAATAAAAATTACAATAGTAAACGATTACAATTAAATAACTTATCGATATCGTAATATTCGCAGTGAATTCCCCCCATAAACAGACGACTCGGAGTGATTATGTCGCAGAATCCGCAAAGGCGGCTCTAGGGCTGCGTGCTCTGCTGTTGGATCTCGATTTTCTCCACCGTCATGTCGGGGTTCATCGCCGTGGCTTCCTGCAACGTTCAAATCGAAAGTGAAATTGCTATCTTTCGTGTCATTGTTTTTCACCACTCCACTACTCCATTTATACATATGCGCGTTTTAAATCTAAATATAATTTAGTGCATAAGTTTATAAATGTTTAACCTGTATAGCCTCGGCGAGTGCTCGGTCGTGATCGATCGGGTCACCGTCGGACTGGATGGTGATCTTCTGCTCGACTCTGGTTTCCACCACTCCGTTGCGTTCCGTCTTGTACTAAACAAACAAGCCTCGACTGTACTTCTGTTAATTTGCGATAGACCCTTTTATAAATCTACATCTTTTTATAAAAGGGTAATCTATATCTTATACTGTACTTTAAAAAGAATTTGCACATTAGCTATAAAACAAACAAGCATTTCTGCTACTCATAGCATAGTTCCTACTGATAGATTGAGGTTCTTTCTTAGGATATTTTGATCTGATTAGTTTTTTCTCAATAGAATCAAAGAAATAAATCGCAAATAATAAATGTCATTTGCCGTTTAGTTTAAATCGATTGTGTTGCAAATTCAAATGGATGCTATTGTTTTATAAACATTACATTATGGTAAACTACGAAGTACTCACAGTAATCGTCTCAACAGTTCGTGTCTTCGAGCTGATGGTCTGCGAGGAGACCACTTCTTCCCCTGTGAGGTTTTCCGCCGACTCCGGAATCTCTGTGGGTTCTGGGCTTTTAGAGAAAGATGTAACCTGAGGCCCGACACTAGTCTGTAATTGACATATAACCTAAATAAATTGACTAATTGACTTCCAGGTAACCTTTTATGTTTGATACACAATAAACGGACAACCCAACGACTAGAGTATGTACATTTCAAATCAAAGTCTTTTTTAGATATTGCTAGCGCCATCTTGAAATAAAAAACAGGGAAAAATTACCATTCATCATACACTCGTTTATATTGAAGCTATTTGAAATATTGATTCTATTTTGAATTCACAATTTAATTACGAATTAATAATACAACTGAGTCATTTCATCATCGAATGCCTAATCTTCGTCAATATAGATCACCCACCTTAGTGGTAGCACCGTGCACCATGCTACCAAACGGCGCGTTTCCCATTGTCGTCGACGTAGTCGTCGTGCGGTACACTCCGGGTTCCTACACATCAAACTTATTAGCTATACTAGAATCTATAGCAATATGACTAACATTGGCAGATATACTAACGTATTTTATGTATCGAGTAGTTGCAGCTTAAATCGTACCTCTGAATCAAATAAATGACGTTTTTTTCAAGGAATTGCAAATAAAAAGTACATAGGATTTTCTTAATACTTTACAAAATATTGTAGTAAGGTCAAATTGTCAATCTATAATTATCAGCTGCCAAGTAGAGGGAGGGCAGAATATTGAAAAAATCGAGGCGTTACTAGAATTACATTAACAAGCATATTAGGAGTGGCATATGCTCCTCCTTTCATACACATACGCATCCCATCGGAACAATATCGACATGCAATTCGTGCTCTAAACACATCACTTCATGCACACTAATTACCTTGATATGCTGACACAATACCTGACTTACAAAAAGATAATAATTATTAAAAGAAATACGGAACAACATTATCGTAAAGTCCTACAGATTTTTGCTAAAGTTTAATTATATGTATAAACCTTGAGTGCGTAATAAAAATCCTTGTATTAAATGGAATTTTCTAAGGTCTTTAGATCGATAAAGATCTTTCTAGGCTGTAAGTCTCGAAACGCGCGTACGTACCGTTACGTAGTAATGTCCCTCGCCGCCGTCGAAGTCGATCGGGGTGCCGGAATCTCCGCTACTCAGGGACGACGCCGAACCGTGTCTAGTCAACTGTGCCCGTGATAATGGTCAGCGACATGGCCATGGAGGGAGTATGGAGTTAGGTGATCGGTGCGTTTAAAGATTATCATGTCGTGTCCCATTGACAAATGGCGTAATCGAACGTTTCCCATGCGACGAGGTTAAGTCACGAATGCGATGAGTCACACCATGCGAGTTATGAACGGCCGAGGAGAGATGGAAAGAATAAAAAACTCAATTAGAACCTAACAGTACATTATACGGGTGCTTTTCGTTCTTTTGTTAAAAGGGGTTCTCATAAGCTCATAAGCATCGCGAAACGGGAGATGTAATGATTAATATTGTTGTAAAATTATCAATACAACAATAACTCTTTAAAGAGTATCGTTATGTTCAAGGTGAGTGTTTTGGCTAATGAAATTATTTTATAATTATGTTCAATCTGGTTGAATTAACACATCTCCCCCGATCAGAGTAGAATTTTAGCTCGAATCGGATCGCACGAAAAGCTGCCACGTAAAAGCGATCAACCAAAGAGTAAACAAAAAAAAGGTAATAAGTGCATGGAGATGAGTCGGACCGAGTGCGTACCTGATCGCCCGTGGTGACGGTCGTTTTGACCTGCTGCGTCACCACTCTCTGCTCCTGCCTCGTGGCGGACGAGGTCAGCGTGTGCGCGACCGTCTTTTCCTCCATTTGCTGCGTCTTGGCCTTCGTGTCGAGGTCGTGGTGGGTGGTGGCAGTGCGGGTGGTCACCGCCCTCGCGGTCACGTACGGGCTGCGGCCCTCCGTCGGCTCGACGTTGTCGGCCTAAACGTTACACTAGCATGCTTACACTATATACAAAACTAGCTAACACCGACTAGAAAGCTTCGGAAGGCGTTAAAAAAAATAAAACACAAAATTAGGAAAAAATAAAACGAGGCGGCTCCGTCGGCCCGTTACATAGGTGAGAGACGAACCTTGTTGGTGTGCGTGGAGAAAGTCACCTCGCCGGTGCCGAGGTTCTCCACCTCTTGCTCGACGTTGTGCGTCACGCCCTCGTCGTTCTTTGTGAGCAGCTGTTTGGTCGTGGTCTTTACGACCACCGGCGGCGTCGGAGTCTTTTTGGATCGCTGTGAAATCGGGATCTTGGAGGAGACGGGGGTCGAGGAAGACGCGTAGCCTTGGTGCCGGATGTGCTCGCTCGTCGTGTACTCGGTAAACGACTTGGGCTCGTCGCCCCTAAGGGGACTCTCGTCTTTGCCAAAAGTGGAGAACTTGTGCGTGTTCACCGTCTGAATGTCGATGTTCGCCGGGAGGTCTTCGGTTTCCTTTTCGATCGTGTAGTTGCCGCTCTTGTCCTCGAAGTGGGACGGGTCTATCTGGGAGTAGTGCAGGATCAGTTGGCCGGTGACGGGGTCGCGCACAGCGGTGCTGGGGTCGATGTCGCCCGTGTCCGGGTCGATATCGCCGTACTCGGTTTTAATCCTTCCGGTGACCGGGTCGATCTTACCCGACAGGGTCATGGTCTGAGTGACGGTCGTTCTCGCCCCCTTGAGCCTCGGGTCGTCGGGATCCACGTCGATGGTCTCTCCGGTGATCGGGTCTATGATCTGGTACACGTACACGGTCTTCGTCGTGATTATTCTGCCAGTCGTTTCGTCGATGGTGCACTCTTTAGGATCGACTTCCTTTACTCTTCCCTTGTCGTCTTTCTGAGTGATTATGTAAATTTTGACGATTATCAGTTTACCCGTCCTGGGATCGATTTTACCCAACTTTGTGTAAATTTCACCAGTTCCGGGATCGACTTGCGAGGCGGAGTAAAGAGGTTCGTTGTTTTCGTCTACATCGCCGGTGGCCGTGTAAATTTGCCCGTTGACCGGGTCGACTTTAATGAGTGACTTCTCGACATCTGTCGCTCTCGAAATTGTGCCCGATTTGGGATCCAGACGACCGTAAACGGTGATGATGTAGCCGGTGTTCGGATCTATTTGTCCGGCAGTGTACAGAGTTTCTCCCGTTTTGGGGTCTTTAGGTCCGGCGATCCAGATCTGGTTGGTTTTCGGATCCACTTTAACGTTCTTAGGATCATTCGAGACGATCTGCTTGCCCGTGACGGGGTCGACTTTAGTTTGAATGATTCTAAGACACATCAACCGACCGATGTCCTTATCGGGCTTGCCCGATTTTGGATTCACTTGACCCGTTCGTAACAAGAACTGCCCCGTCACGGGGTCCACTTTGAGCTCCTTGCTTTCGAACTTTCCAGTTTTCGGGTCGTTATATGTCACGGTACCTTTAACTAGGTCAATCTGACCGTACTTAGTATTGATGATATTGTTATCGGGATTCATTTGACCCGTGCTGCTTTCGATCACCGAGTTTTTCGGTTCGATCACACCCTTCTTAGCATCAACTTTACCGACGAAGGACGTCACTTCTACCACCGGGTCGATATGACTGCCGACGACGAGCAATTGGGCGAGGTTGGGATTGATTTTTCCAGTTTTAGGGTCTATTACGCCGACGATAGTGATCTGCCCATTATTTTCATCTATAGAGATGACTTTAGCATCTTGAGAACCAGTAGTGTCCGATGCAAAAATAACTCCGTTGGAAGGGTCGATCACGCCATATTTCGTCGATATGTTTCCCGTTTCAGCATCAACCTTACCCTTGGTATGTTCAACCACACTATCTTCGATATTTACTTTTCCGGTTTTGGGATCGTAAGGCCCCGTTATAGTAGTGATGTCTACGACCGGATCGTCTTGCTTAGCGACACTGAGGATCATGCCTAAATTGGGATCAACTTTTCCAGTTTTAGGGTCGATAGCACCGGAATGAATAAATATTTGACCAGTTTCAGCGAGAATGGTGCCATCTTTAGTTTGCTTTTGACCCGCAGCATCTGTTATTACCATACTGCCTTTGTTCGAATCAAGAAGCCCGTATTTAGTCTCGATGAATCCGTTAGGGTCTAATACACCGGTTAGATGCTCAACTTCGGCGGTAAAGAAATCAGGCTTCTTAGTCTTTGGGTCGACTCTAGTAAATATAACCATAATCTTAACGATCTTCTTCTTAGGTGGAGCCGGCGGTGCGGTTGTCGGTTTCGTAGGAGCTATACCCTGAACTGATGTAATCGGTGAAGCCTTTTGGTATTGACTTGCAAAATGTGCCGATGAACGGGCAGATGATTCCGAAGGTGTTTGAACTGGTGTCGTGGTCGGCGTTTTTACAGGAGTCGGTATTTGGCGGGGTGGCGTGACACTGGCTCTTTGTGACACTGGTGTCACTTTAGATAAAACACTTTGCTTATCAATGATAGTCAGCTGCTGAGCAAACGTGGGATCGACTTTACCCGTTTTTGGATCAACAACTGATGTTGTAACGGTGATGGTTCCCGTTTTTAGATCAACATCGGCTTGTTTTAGCTCCTGCTTACCAGTTATAGGATCTTTGTACAAAATCTGCCCTGATTTTGGATCTATGATTCCGAAATCAGTGTGAATTTTGCCATCTTCTGCGCTTACGTAACCCTTTGTCGCGTCTATGGTCCCAGAAGTGGCATCCAAAGCTTTAGTTTTAGGATCAACTCTACTTGTTATAATAACCAGTCGAATTTCACCTTTGGTAGGCGGCTTTACGTGTGGAACGGTTGGTTTGTTGACAATACTATACATTTGAGCCAAAGAAGGGTTTACTTTTCCTGTCTTCGGATCTACAACATTGTTGGTAACAAGCATGTGGCCCGTGGCCGAATCTAATTGAGCTTTCTTAACTTCCTGTTTGCCTGTTTTTGGATCTTTCACGACAATTTCACCTGTAGCGGGATCAATGATTCCCAACTCGGTATGTATTTTTCCATCAGCTCCAACAGTACCAGAAACCGTTTCTATCTCTGCTTGAGCAGGATCTATTTTCTTAGTACGTGGATCGTATTTAGTAGTGATTATGACAAGGTGAATTTCCCTTTCCTTTGGTTTAGCATCCTTGTCGATGATGCTAAATTGTTGTGCTAGTGACGAATCAACTTTGCCTGTTTTAGGGTCGACGACTCCTCCAGCAACGACCAAGTGGCCCGTTTTGGGATCGGCTATAGCGTTCTTAACTTCCACGTTTCCTGTCAAGGGATCGGTTTGCTCTATTTTACCAGTTTTAGGATCGATAATACCGAAATTACTATATATTCTGCCGTCTGCGACCACGACTCCGCGTGAAGTTTCAATGTGGCCATTCGGGTTATCTAACCTCTTATATTTGGCGTCGTACTTGCTAGTTATGACGACTAATTGAACTTCTTTTCCTTGAACCGAACCAAACGTATCTTTGGGCTTATTCGTGACGGTGTATTGCTGCCCCAATGCTGGATCGACCACTTTAGTGTTAGGGTCGATAACACTCGACGTGAGCAACATATTTCCAGTTTTAGGGTCGATAGAAGCTTTCTTTACTTCTTGCTTACCCGTAATAGCGTCTGTTACGGTTATTTGGCCCGTGGCGGGATCAATAACACCGAGGTCTGTATATAACTTGTCATCATCACCTAACTTACCCGAAATCGTATCTACATGAGCATTAGTAAGATCGAGTTTTTTGTTCTTGGGATCATATCTAGACGTGACAATCACTAAATTCATATATTTTTCTGGTATACCCTTGGGAGCATCTTTGTCAACGACAGTGAGTTGTTGTCCTAGTGCAGAATCAGGTTTACCCGTCTTGGGATCTATCACGCCGGATGTCAGAAGGAAACTACCCGTTTTAGTATCAATAAAAGCTTGTTTAGAGTCTCGTTTTCCGCTTTTGGGGTCAGTAAAATATATTTTGCCGTTGTTCGGATCGAGCACTCCAAAGTTCGTATGAACTTTACCATCTTTATCACTGATAATAGCTTGTGAAGTTTCTATGAAACCGTTGGGATTATCGAGCTTTTTGGTTTTTGAATCGTATTTACCAGTTATTGCTACCACCTGAACTTCCTTTCCGGGTAGAGCGGCAAACGTACTCGTGGGCTTATCCACGATACTGTATTGCTGTCCCAGCGAAGTGTCCAATTCATCAGTTCTAGGATCGACTACGCCCGATAACAAAAGAATATTACCCGTCTTGGAATCGACTTGGGCTTTTTTGATTTCTTGCTTTCCAGTTTTTGAATCTGTGACCTGTATGTTGCCCGTTCGAGGATCAATAATTCCATACTCGGTATATATTTTACCATCGGTACCACTAAGTACTCCTTTTATAGCATCTATATGAGCGAATGCCGAATCGAGCTTCTTATTTTTTATATCGTATTTGCTCGTAATAACGACTAATCTCACTTCTCTGTTCGCTTTGGTAGCATCCTTTTCTACGATACTGTATTGCTGACCTAGGGAAGAATCCACTTTACCAGACTTAGGATCCAGCACGCCAGTGGTGACGAGCAGATTTCCAGTTTTTTGATCGACGTAAGCCTGCTTAGGATCTTGTTTGCCAGATTTTGGGTCAATGTAATTAATTTTGCCCGACTTAGGATCTATTATACCATAATTAGAAATTACTGTACCGTCCGGGGAAACAATCGCCCTAGAAACTTCTACGTGGCCATGGCTGGCATCTAACTTTTTATGTTTTCCATCATATTTACCCGTTAGCACTACTAAATCGACCTCCCTGCCGGCTTTAGCACCGACCTTATCATCAGCCTTTTCTACAAAACAATATTGTTGAGCTAGCGTCGGATCCATTTTCCCTGTTTTCGGGTCAATGATACCGGAAGTGAAGAGTATGTGTCCCGTTTTAGAATCAACATGACCGCTTTTCACTTCTTGCTTCCCGCTGGCAGGGTCAGTCCAACTCACTTGACCCGATTTCATATTGATGGTTTCAGTTTCGGTTGTAATCTTTCCGGCGGCTTTGTCAAGTGCGCCTTTGGTGACTAAGACGGTTCCATTGGCGTCGTCGAGTTTCTTTGTTTTGGGATTATAGCGGCCAGTAATTATAACTACTTGTATTTCATTATCCAGTTTAGCGGCGGCGACGGGAACGGCAGCCGCAACGGGCACTTCATGTTGAGCTCTTTCCGAGTCGAGAAGAGCGAGCGTGGGGTCAATAAGATTGGACTTCGGCTTTTTGGCTAGTTCTTTGAGGCTAGCCGATTCGACATAATCCAGTCCTGGCGTTTTCAATTTGCTAGGATCTTCCGGCGTCTTCCGTTTTTCGGCGCTTTCTGCAACTTTCTTATCCTCTCCTGGGGCATAGTTAAATGCTAATCCAGCTTTCCTCGTGCCAGGGCTTTGACTATCACCTAAACCTATTTGTTTATCTTCTGATATAGGTTCCTTCTCGTAACTGAACGCGCCTTTGATCAACGGTTTGCGAGTTGGACTCTTTTCCGTATCGGTGTATTCGTAAGGTTTAGTGAAGCTCGGCTTCTCTTCTGTCCTCGGACTTCGGTCGCCGGAACCCTCGAGATGGGCACTATCATTGGAGGTGTCGAGTACTGCTATCTTAGCCGGTGAAACTTTTTGTTTCTTATCCTTTTCTTTTGGTGATTTCTCTCGCGGGGGTTTCTCTTTTTTAGGTGATTTCTCTTTCGGTGACTTTTCATCTTTAGGAGACTTCTCCTTCTTGGCGAATAATCCGAATCCTCCCTGTTCGGGGTAGGGATCAGGGTAAGGAGGAATAACAAAAAATACATTAAATAAAAATATAAAAATGCATTGTGAAGTTCTACTAACTTTATATGGTGCAAACTAAACAATTAAATATGCAAATACATGCTTCGATTGGAATCTAAAGATGGTATGTACAAATTTAAAACTTACACAAATGCTTGTTTCGAATGTACACAATGTGACAAAAGTGAAACTACCATTCCTACATTTTAAACAAGAATAGATACGATCTCATTGCTACGTACCTTCGATTTCTTTGGCGTCGTTTCTAAATTGTTTGTTATGCCCGGATCACTGGTCGTGTCGGTTCCTGCGAAAGACATTTGCTATAAATGTAAAAGAATGTCCGGAATATGCTGAGAAAATTTAATAAATAGCCGTATTTATCTATAAGCTCAAATCGACAAACCGTTTTCAGCCGGTTTCTTTGCCTCTGCTAATTTCTTATCGTCTTTTTTGTCCGGAGGCGCGGTGGGCATCACTTTGACGGCACCGGGTGGCGGTTTCTGAAATTATATGAAACTTAGAATTAACACACATGTTCTCTATAGCAGTGGATAGACTCACAAACTTGTAAAGCACATCTTTGTGAAAACTTACAATTAAGTTTAATTAATATATCGCGTTTAAACCGTTAAAGTGTTTTATTTAAAGCTTACAAGGCTGTTTCAAATCTGAATTTGAATAAACACTAATTGATAGTCAATATTTTGTCCATTATTTTGTGACAAAGACAAGACACGAAGTGTACCATCCATTTGATTAAACATTTATAAAACACAGTCGATAACTAACTACAGCCAAAAAAGTACTCGAAGCTCGCACTCACTCAACATGATATCATCCTCTATTCTACAATTATCCACACTATCGCATAGTAACTACTTAACGCTTGGTAAATAAAATTCTAAGCAGTAGGATTTATGCATGAAGTCTTACTGGGTCTTATTCTTTTCAATAACGCAACGAAACTGTTGACCAACTGAAGAATAATTATATATCAAAGGGAAATGCCCGTACTTCATAGTGCCAGGCCATGGTTAGCCATCACAATTATATAATTCAAATTCGCTTTACAAAACTTTTACGAGAGACAATTAATAATTGTAACTTTTCTCAACAGTACAGTGCAATCAGGGGGTACGGCAGTAATAGTGGTATGTGAATGAAACCTTATCCCCTCGATCGGCGAGGTACTCCCCCTCGAGGGAGCTGGCTGAGGAGGCGCTCACGGTGCCGCCAGACCTTCTCCGGAGCTGCGTCCCGCATCATACATTCTCGTCAGTATAACTCTTTAGATACCGATAACGTACCGTCGTTAAGGGTGTCAATATATATATCAGCTCAGTGGGACGCGATGGGTGCGACGGCGCCACTACACATGCAGCGTGTTTGAATTTTTTAAATCATGAGCTTCACTCGATGGTAGGGAAACACGTCAGCCTATAACATCTAAACAAGATGCGCTGTCGACTTTTTTTGGCTTTGGATATTCGGCATAAGATGTGCATGTCGATAGTAGTTCGGATGGGTCGCATATCGAAAGAGTTTCCTGACGATTACTTATGAGATGAAAAACATGCAGTCTTTTACGGTGGTTATGTTGTACTAGAGCAGTAAACATGATTTTTTAACTACTTACTGAAGAAAAGGTACGGAAAGACAAACCTTGACCTTTTGAAGGAATGTTTAAATAAGTTTTAGAATTCGGAATATATTTATGTTGATTGTCATTACTATCTTGATAATACGGTTATGCTTACATTATTTAGAAATGAATGTTTGTGTGTGTCTTTGTAAATCTAATGAATTACCTTATCTGTGATGGTGGGTCTGGGTGCCGGTTGAGGCGGCATGGTGTGTCTCTTCGCTGCATCTGGTGGCATCGACTCATCTTTCTCTGATGACAGAGCTGAAATGTATGAGACGTGTTTTAGAGCACATTAATAAAACAATATTGTAGTACAATACACTGACTAATATAAAATTTCATATAATTTTGTTAGACTTAATTGCGACAAACACACTGATGTTTAATGAATATTCTACGCGTTTTTATCGTTTTAAATATATTTGTGGATGCGGTACTAATTGTTTTTGATGTTTTTCTATTTGCTTATTGGAAACCCAAAAAATGGTCCTTTCTCATACAAATTGTCTTTAAATACATATATTAAAACTACAAAATAATGGAATTTTATTGCAAAATTTATTAAAAATAAATTGCAGACTCAGATATTCTCTGCATTGACTATATGTTACTTAAACAAATATTTCTATTAAGGACTCACATGCACAACTAGGATTCCAGCAATCGTCAAAAACCATTTTTATCACTTTAGGTAAATATAGACACGTCTACTTGCAACGGCACACGCCTCTCGACTGAGTGTAAACTGACTCAGTAATTGTAAATAGTGTAAAAATAAATCCTACTTCATTACGCGTGATGGTGTTATGCCAAAATTAGGAATGCATTGCACATATCACAATTAGTTAAACATCGGAGATAATTATATATTCACTACAAAACAGAAGTATACGTATACGATTAAACTTTTTACTATTTTTAGATCATTTTTTCTATAAAACAATCAAGACATGCCAAGTGACAAATACTTCGTGGAAATTATGTCCGTTGCGCTTTCTAAACAATTTAGAAGCTTTTAATAGAAATCATAAATTAGGTTGCTTTACGTTTACTTAAATATATTATTTACATGCCAAGGAATATGAGAACACGTAGAAGTGACAGTAAATGGTGAAGGCAATACTAGCGTCAAACAAATCAATGATAAAGTTAAAGGTGTCGATGTCGTTTTCCTCTTAACGCCGTGACTCAGATGCCAAATGAGATAACTTTATGAAAATAAATTAAATTAGCGCGATGATGTCACAAGTGCGTTTGTCACCGTCGGATGCATTCTGGCTCGGAGACAGCTGATTTGGCGCGAAACGTAGACAATACAAGGCCGCTATTTAAAAGTACTTATATTGTATTTTTTTAAATGGCATTTTTGGTGAACAAACCCACAATTTACATGAAATCGTGTTTTTCTCACAAGATTTACAATTTGAGACACTGGATTATATAATAAACTAATCGACTGCCTTAAATACACTTAGAAACCACAATTTCATATATACAGTATTACGCACCACTACATCAATTATAGGGGCGGGCGGAAGTCAACTCACCCATAGTGCTGCGAGAGGTAAGTCCCCTGGTGGAGAGCGACCTGTCAAAGTTCGGCGGAGGGCGGGAGAGAGTCGCGTTGCGAGACTCGTAGTGAGTTCGTCCGCTGTAACGGAAGCGGGAGCCGAGGCGAGGGAAAAGAGTGCTGCGGGTCGCCGGTTCAGGGCTCGTTAGCCTAAAGGTCGAACGATTTCCATTATTACAACTTGTTCTATAAATATATCATCAACTTCTAATATTAACTTCGATGAACAAATACCTGAAGAAAGTATGATGCTCGACGCAAGTCTTCCACAGCTTCTTGGCGGCGCGGTGGTTCGCGAGCTTGAAGCCGACCGTCGACTCGAACTGCTCGAACTCCCCCGGCCGGAGCTTCACGTAGAAGTTGTGGCGCTTGTAGCTGATCTTCAGGATCTTGGGCCACGCGAAGCGGTTAATGCGGAGCCTGGAAAGTGAGAGCCCCCAATCAGTCAAGTTGTTAAGTTATAACTTAACAATTTTCTGTAGTTTTATAGGTATATAAATATGGTTTACTTTTTGACAGACTTTTCCTTTTTGCTTTTAATAACTTCTAGTGGTCACTCAGTATTGAAATAAAAATATCATTGAGTCACTACATTACATATCATTCTCTTAAACAAAAATGTAATAAATGAATATAGTAAGTACACTTACACGTAAGAAAAACGCCGAAGTAAAACTATAGAGAGTAGTTATACGCGCCGCATGTTATCGCATGTAACTTCACGAACGAGGCGAATAACGAATAACTCCTTGCTTTTAACATTTTTCTCTATTACTATTTAGCCATAGTTTCTGAGGGCGTTAAGTCAAAATTCTGAGCGACTTACTTGTCTCTGTGCACGAGTAGGCCGGAAGAGCACACCCCGAGGGTGATGTCCACGTTTTCGGAGTCTTTGGCAGGATGCAAATCGACACCGTACATGGCCAGCTTTTTCGCATTCTCGAGGTAGTTCAGTTCGGCTTCCGCTGGCGTCTGACCTCTGGAAAGATTGTGAAAAGAAATCAACAAAAATTACGATATAAAAAAAAGTACGTTTGTATTTTACCCTTACCCTTTACATTTAAGAGGGTAAAAATGTTACATTCTTGTATTGGAATCGTAATATAGTGAGCTCTAAGAAGAAAGACAATTGGCACGTCCCAGGGCAATGTTGAAGCACATTTGCCCTAGGCCATATTCGTAATTACCAGTTTATTACAAATATTAATTTTTCGTTCAACAAATTTTATATTCGTGTAACTCGCTACTACTCCTATAATATAATTTATTTATAAACACTCGAGTCTTTAGTTCTTAGTACAAGCTATTTTTGTACGACAGCTTGTAGTAAGAAGGTGTGAGTATATTTTAGCCATTAATCCAATACTGCTCATCTAACCTGTGCGTCTTGTGTAACTCGAGCACCTTTTCCTCGAGGTCCGGAGTGCAGCTGGCGGGCGGCACCAGCCTCAGCTGCTTGCAGAGTCCAGCGCCGGCCTCCCGTTCCTCATAGTCACCGAGTTCGGACTGCAGCAGGTAACTCGCGAGCAGAGCGTGAGTTACCGCTGAACAGGGCAAGCGACCTGCAAATCAACAACCTCATTTTATCCTGAGGATAAAATTATGAAATGATTTTGTATTTTTCTTTTCTAAGCCGAAATCAAAGCAGCATTTTACTAACTGCATTCTGAAAAAGCCTCCCCATGAACAGCAAGTAAATGACACATGAGACGTTCATAAGAAAACGCTTACCATCCAAGAGATCTTTCCTGATAGCCAAAACCAGTTGGTATCTCGTGAGCTCTTCTTGGAGTTGCGCGGGCTCGGGAGGGTAGAACTTCACCGTGAAACGTACGTACCATGGCTCATCTAGTAACACAAAAAAAACATCATTAGCTTGGATTGAACATTATGCTACACTAGTAGCAAGCTTCTTCTTTAACTTTATAACACATTACATAACATGTGTATATATACATATACTTACGTTTTAGCATTTTGGACACGCGCTTTTCCAGGTCGATCCAGACCCGGGGGTCTCCGCGGTCTTCGTAGAGCAAACCGAAGTAGTCCTTCTCGACTAAGTTTAGACTGTCGCACACCTTCGCCAAAAGTTCGTGACCTCGTATCTTTCTCTGTAATTTAATTAACTATTTGACGCCTTTGTTCGTTTATTTGCAAACATCGCGTTCCTCTTTATCCTAATAACATGCACTCACCTCAACTTCCAGGTCCATAATAGATCCATCGAGCAACTCGATTTTGACTTTGGCGAGGTTGCCGGATCTCCGTTTGGGCGACTCTTTCATCTTCTTCTCTTCTTTGCCATTTTTGGCGTCTTTTGACACGCCCTCCGGCATTTTGCCGCCTTTCTCTCACCGCCTGAAAATAAATAATCCGTTACCTACTTCGTATAATACGTAGTAAACTAACTAAAGTAACGTCAAATGTATAGTTTACGCGAATACATCATAAGTACGTATGTTTTTTCGTCTCGATATAGTTATAATTCTATGGGATTCGATATGGCGGTGTGGGATTTGTTTGAAAAAATCTTCACCCTTTACATTCAATTACGATGACAAGATATTATTTAAGCGTAGTAGCAGAAGCGGAGCGCAAGTTGAAATAATACAAATGAAAAGTCAGTGCAAGTGTTGGATTCCTAGAACATTAAAAGCTAATCGAATCGAAGCCCAGGCTCTAAATGGCTTTCAATTCGGTGAGTCACGTTCGCAGAGCACTCGATAAACGGTCTAATCACTAATGCAACGCTAGTTGCTAATGATGTAATTTATTGGTTCGTCAATTTAAATTCTTGCCAATCGGTCTTTGCGTCAGACTGCCGAAGACTTGTTAGGCAACGTCAAAACCGGGTCCCAAACTTCAATGGAATCAAATGGTCGTCCGTTTAACATAACTAGGTAGGTCCATCCTCCATTGTACTTCGTAGACCGAACCGTCCCGAATTGGCACACAATGGCCCGTGTAATGAGAATAATCGATTAATGGGTTCGAATTTAGATGCAGCTTAAGATTTCAGTGTGTTAGAGGCCATCTTAATAAACATTAAAAACTGTTTCCTCGCCGACACCTACTCGACTACGGACCATATCGGTATGTGACCTCATCTCATCATTACACTGTGGCCTAAATTGTTCAATTGAACACGACGGAGCACGTCATCGTCATCACCTATTTCAGAAGACAAGCAAATACCGAAGACTCCATAGGTTTGGAATCCTAGATGATCAGATCATGAGGGGGCTATCTCTTTTGAAAGTGACTCTTAAATAGCGTAATGGAGAGCCAATGGTTGAATGGACAGCATAGTGGAGAAAGGATCAAGCTAGCTAATACGACGCTTCAATTCCACGATAGTCTATTTACTGAAAATCTAGCTGAATTATTATTCCGAAATAGTTTTTAAACACATATTTTAGTCGAGGACTCACGCAAATCATAATTATCGCTCACAATCCAGCACGCGCCAAATAAACAGGAAATTTCAAACAATAACCGGCCAAAATTGGAAATGTTTAATCGTGTTATCGTCTAGAGCCGTCTTTAGCGGTTCTTCCGGTGTGGCTGGATTTTCGATTCGAAGAGACTTTTTTTTACTGGAATTGCATCATAAGGACTATAATACGGAATCTTTTGAATTACCAACTTCCTCCAATTTAATATAAAGCAGACTATATATCCGACGTCGTTAAGTAGGTTTATCGATAACATAAAACGAATATTAACCATCGATACACCCCACGCTGGCCCTCGGCCAACTGATGCATCAGATATGATGGATGCTGTTCCGCTGAAACTGCTTCAAATAAATCTAATATTATTCGAGGACGGGTGTTAAATGGTACATACAGTGAGTAGTTAATTCAATGAAAAGCTTAATTTATTATTTTGTTCGTCCGCATACTAATGAAGAACCGGCCTAATATCTAAAATAAAAATAAATGTAATGCACAATAATCTGCGTTAGCGCAGTTTGTAGTAATCAAGAGTCGCATGTATTGCAAATGCATTTCCGAAGGCAGTCGCGTGTGAAGCTTATAGAATGGACGCTGACGTCAGGCCATTGTTATCGCTCATCCTAGTGTAATGGTCGATTACGACGTACCTACCTAATTCAGCTTTTGCTGAAGGCTGAAACGATAGACACACAATAAGTTAAGCCTTCAGAAGGAAATAAGTACATGAACCGCTGAGCACGAGAGTACGAGTGAAGCAATGTTGAGCATTTGTATTAAACAAAATCTTTCGCCCGCCATGTCATTACCGGAGCTAAACATTAAACAATCATAAAGACATAATGACTCATTTGCACTAACTATAAAATAATTAACTGTTTCGCACGTCCCGATTACGTCAGAGTTTATTTCAGAAACAGGGTCAATGTTGTACTGCAATATTTCTATTTTATTATATTATTTTTTATCCACATATAAGTTAACTTCTTAGCAAATCATTTTAACTACGGCCCGACGTTTTACTTAGCGGCAGTCGTGGCCACGTGAGTCTATTCTGAATGGAAAAGCCTATCTATAATAGCTTTTTTTAAATATATATTATGACGATCTCTGTCTTATCCCTCAATACCTATACCGAAGTGAAGTACTCGCCGAACGACTCACAGGGCGATGTCAATGACTGCTGTTACATCCTGATAGTGGCGACTTGGCGCATACTGATTACGTTATTATCAGTCTTCTTTAACATACGCCGAGAATATTGTACTCGCGTATATTAAATCAATAATTATGACAACGCATACGCTTTCAGTTCAAGTATACGTTATATTTGAGTATATTATTATCAAAGTAACCTACGACTATACTCGAGGGTGTCGTGAATAGTAGTCTAAGCCCGATTTGACCAAGTTTGTAAATCGTCAATTCTATAGTGGTGTGGAGCTTAAGAAACATTAACTGGAAAGAAAACGGTATTACGTGATTAGCAACGGTGTATCACCGTTGCTTAGCAACGGCATTTGCCATATAATTATGGCAAATGCGCCTATCACCGCATCTATAAACAGAAGCGGAGAAGCGGAGGAACCGAAATATAGAGGCAGGCGCTGGAGAAGCTGGACGGGGCAATTCATCACACGGCCGACACGCGGTATGCACGATGATGATTTATTGTATAATCGAGACGTTTATACAAGGCTCGCTTGTGCCCGCCAGACGTTACCCAGTCAAATAAACGTAAATAGTTTCTGATTTAAGTGCGCACTCCTGTAAGCTATTGTAGCTGTAGACACGATTATTTTTTACAAAAGGAGATATTGTTTAACAAAAAATAACAAATTTCAAACAATAAGAAATATAATATAATATAATACTGGATACAAATTAACACGTATTTGGATTTAGTTCAATAGAAATGATTGATGATGACGTGTATTTTGTAATTCTGAAGTCGGTGCCGGTACTTAAGTCACAGTATTTACGTAACGGCGTAAGACGGTATATAATGTTTGAAAAACTTTGAAAGTAGCATTAGTAAATACCAATTCAGACACTTTTCTAATACTGTTATATATCATAAAAGTATTCATTGCACTTATAATGATTTTATATATTCCAACAAAAAAAGAATCATTAAAATCGGTTCATAAACGAACAAGTTGTTCGGCAAACACTAAAAAGAATACACAGATCGTATAAACAACTCTCTTTTTCGAAGTCGGTCGGTAATTAAATAAAACAGAGAAAAATGCATGCATAGTGAATATTTGTCGACGAATGAACAAGTTACACGAGAAAAACATCCAGCATCCCGCGCAACTGAAATTACTTACATGGGCATGTTCTTATTCAAAGGGTATATTATTTTATTCAGAGTAAATAGCCAAGTCTATCTTTTAATATGAATGTATGCACGAGGCGGGACGCCTTTCATCTGAGTGCACCGATGTTCCGTGTCACACCTCCGACGAACACAAAGGGCGTTCTGATTAAAAAAAACAACGATGCGCTTGATAGAGCTTTGTTGTAGAAATATGTTGAGAATGGTAGTTTTACGCATTTTAAAATTGAGACTTAAATAAAATACAACACTTAACGAAGAAACTGGCCTAATATCAACTACGACGAAACAGATGCCGCTAGAGTGGGAGAATTTGATATAGACATTAAAAAGACACCCTCCACTTTCAGTGACCCCGTATCCACGGCTGCAAAGCATCCTAAACGTCGCGCCGTTATTCAAATAAATTAAAAATGAGTTACCTAATAATATATTTCGCGTTTAAACCGTTAAAAGTGTTTTACTTAAACGTACTTAAATGTACTTGTTGAAGCATTATACATTTTATTTAAACGTTACGGCATTTTATCATTCACGCAGTTAGTACATATTCAAAATAACACTACAAATTCTACTAATTTTAACTATTTTCAAATGTGCTTACTATAAATTTATAAGGTTGCTATTCTACGGGCAGTGCCGCTGCATTTTCCGTATATATTTTCTGCCTCCCATTCTGTACCGTACCGCACTTGTTCACCCGGCTCGCTATATCCCACCTATCTCTCAGCTGACGGATCGATGGAAGCTCAGACAGACGTCTCCGTATTACGTATTCACGAGTTCGTAAACACGACTGTATAGGATCTTGGAGAGAACTGCTTACGCTACACCGTACTACTTTTACGCTTTACGGCATTTTCCTCGGAGAATAAAAGCTGTCACGAAAGAGTTTGCTTGTTTCTATAAACGCCTTAATATGGGGAACTACTGCTTTCACTTGTAAATTTATCGAGGAAGGTTTTAGGTCAAACCGACACCAAAAGAAAAGAAGAACAGTGGAGAATGTGAAAAAAGGGCGAAAATCTTAATTCCTGATGAATCACTGGGAATTGAAGAATTATTCCTCAATAAATGTTCTAAAAAATGGTGGCAACAGTATTTTTATCTTTTTAGATTACCTCACAAGAACTGTTTGTATGCTAATCAAATCTGGTCGGAATTAATGTATAACCTATTATTTGTATAATATTAATCTTTCAAACAACAAAACAACGTTTGCGGGATAATTGACACTTTTTCTCCACATCCTAATATATACTAGGAAATATTTAAATTATTATAATTGTGTATAATTTTAAATCCACGAAATATGAATTCCTCAAACCCCTAATTGAACGAGGGTCCCGTGGCGTGACCTCACGCGAGCGTAACCGCGCCTTAACGACGTTTCAACATGTTACATGTGGAATTTTTATTTCAGTTTGCCTGAAAACTGTGCTTTTTAATTAGATGTGTTTTGCGGTCGTATAGTTTTTATTTCATTCGAGTGGAATTATTAAACCATGTTTTTATAGTCCATAACATATTCGCTGTTTTG